TTATCAACTGATTTAAAAGCGGCCCAAACAACAAAAACAATACTTAATTTACAGATTTGGGTAGAACATGAGAGGTTATCGTTTATTTTAAGTTAGTGGAGAAGCTATCATTAAGAGTAAAGACATTAATTTAGGCCTGTTAGTCCCTTTTTCATCAAAAAACCCTAAATTGTATTGGCACAGAAAGGAAAAATCACCTTTAGTATTGGTGACTAGTTTCGAATAATAGCAACACACTCATTGGTTGCTAACATTAATAGTTAAATATCAACGAAACATTTCTAGAACTTGAACCTTAATACAAACATTGAAGAAAAGCAACTACGCTTACCAGATTAAATATTTGATGTTTTCACATGGGGAAACCTTAAATAAAAGGTTTATGCCCCCACGCACAACGTATTTGTTTAACTGAGAACTGCCATCAAAGAAAGCTCGTTGTACAATTACTAGAGATACGTTAGTTGATGTTTACAACTTAGCCTCTCGATGAAACTAGCTATGCCCTGCTGCGAAAATATCTGGAAGATTTGTAAAATTCAATCTTCTTTATTTTTCGATGTGATCGTGTGCCAGACTAAGCTAAGTTAATATCTTGAGATCTTGTTATGGGTCGTGTTCTTTAATGCATATATCTTTTGTATTATTAATGATTCAAGACAACAACGAAACTCCAAATGTAAATCAACAAGTATATATTGAAATAACATACAAGAACAAAATATACAATAATTTGTATTCAATGTATAGATTAAGGGAAAAGAAGTTGTTTCCCTTTTACCGTATTTTGATTTGTATTTGATTGTTCGAAACAAAGTTCTCATGAGAGAAAAATGTTCAAGAATCAATATTAGAAAAAGGACTGTTTGTTAGAATAGATAACACAAGAATACAATTGACCAGAAATTGTGTTGTGTTAGAGAAATCAACAGAGTCCTGATTGATTGAACTTGACTGTGTCACAGAGAGATATGCATATATGTATTACAAAATTCCGTGTCTGTGTGTGCGTTTCAAATGTTGTGAGTAAAGTCATAGGTTTGTGTTGACAGGCGAAATTTGCTGGACTCTACTGGCGACTTGCGAAAAAGTCGGTAAGAGTTGTTGGCAATGTTCTTTAACGTCTGGCCGCGCGGTAAAGATGGGAGCTCTTGAAGACTACATCTTGGCAGCAAGGAAAAAGATGAACGAAGAGAACGAGAGAGGCTTATTCGTGTTTTGTTTATATAAGGTTATCTCTCACGTGACAGGCTCCCAGCCTTTTGCCCGGGAAATATTATTCCTCGCGTGCAGGCGATCTGATTGGTCGGAATTGACCAATCAGCGAGCTAGTTTTGAACAGTAGCCAATGAATGCTTGTCGTATGATCTGTATGTATGTATGTGTGTGATAGCGATGATGATCGCTACGATCTCAAAGCGATTAGTCATTTTTCATAATGAACTTGAACGTATATTAAAGTTTTAAAAGGTATACGATCATAGCTATCACCACATCGTATTCGTCACGTCTGATGGTGCAAATTTTGCAGTTCCTGGCCCTTTCTTCATAATTCAATGTCCAAGACAAGAAATGACGTTTTAGTGTTCTACTTTAATTTAATAATATTTTATTTGTGATCTAACTAATTCCATTTGTTAAAGATTCTAATACATCGACAAAATCTGTGAAAAAGTGAATCACAGAGCCTTGATATTTCTCTGACACCTGATTGGTCAATTAATGCCAATATCATGTTTTCCACTACGTTCATACGGTTAAAATTAATTTACCACCGAAAATGTGTTTCGAGCCTATCGCGTGACATACAACATTATAAATACGAGCGACATCTTTCCTCTGTTTTGCCTTCTCTTACGCATACAAGATGTAGCGTTAGAAAGATTACGTTTGTCCCTTAAGGGCAAACGCTATAACACACGCACATACGCGTGCAAATACGTACGTACGAACATTGAACATTTCTTAATTCATCAGCTACGAGCAACAAAAACTATTCAACTTCTAACAGTGAGATTTTCTTCAGCAACAAACATAACTCTTACCAGTTTTCCACCAACGAGAAATATTACTTCAAAATCTTCTGGAGCTATAAGTTACGATTCAACATATTCTTAACTTTCCAGAATTCTCTCATTCATATTCAACTCTCTTCGGTGAACAGTCTAAGCGGCAAGTTAATTCAACTTTCGATATTCAAGTGAAGATTACATTTTCTCTCGATCAACAAGTTTCTTTGAACTCATCTTACACCGAATTTCAGCCTACAACACGTTCTTATCGAAGAACATTTCTTTCATTGAGACTGAACTTTATTTCATGAACTGAAATCTTTTCTGTGAGTCCAGATAAAAAATATATATTTTCCTTAAAGTCTTAACTAATTCAAATAACAGTTACAGGTAAATAACTCTTGCTATTAATTACAACTCTTACTAAATAAAACTCACACACTTGATTGCTTTGTATGTCATACAGTAAAATGAAGATTGTTATTATAAAAACAGTTTTTGTGTTGCTTCTCTTGTTTGCTTTTCGTTTGCTGACACATTTGTGTAAAAAATTTACAGATTGAATTGAGCCGTTCAATATATATATATTTTAAAACTTAAAAAAAAATTACATGACATGTGATACATTAGTAACATTCTGTCGTCAGAAGGCGTCAGAAAATTTAAAGTTCAATTGTAGAACATTGTAGAATATGTGACAGAAATGCTTGTTGCGATTAAGTAGAAAACACGTGTCTCCAGGTGTTCTTTTTCTCGTCACAACTTTTGTGGACTCGAATGTGAGTCAACTAATAAACCGGTAAACACAATACAATATAAAGCAAACGACAATGCATGCATTAACAAGAAGAAAGCATTGAAAGACTATAGTGTGTGTGTTGTGTGTGTGTGTGTGTGTGTGTGTGTGTGTGTGTGTGTGTGTGTGAATTTTTGTCCCCCTACGTGATAGAAACGGGTGGAAAAGAGTACAGAAAGTCATGAGAGAAAAAAGTAAGACATTAAAAATGAACCTACCACAGTGGGAGAAACTTTTTCCCCCACGAGCGACTACATCTTATAGCCAAAGTTGTGAAAAGAGGTCCAACTTATTCAGCCGTTAAAATGGTACGTTCCATCATGCTACGATTAGGGCCGGTGCAAGGGACTCTTTCTCCTCTCCCCGAATCTATGTTACCCCTCGATTTTATGATACGAGGCCCATCACTCTACTACTACATCTCAATTTTCATAAGGTAGTATTCATAAAAAATACAAATCTTATTGCAATGTAACCTAAATAAGTATTATAATGGGCCATATGCAATATAGGTAAACATTTCGACTAGAAAATTTGAAAATAAATACAATGACTCTAATTGGAATTAGAGACATGTCATAATAGATGATTCTGTCTTAAATAAATCAACAATATTAATTTTAATATCAACTTGATCAAATGTTGATAAAGTAGCGAGGTGCTAGGAAATTTGTCCCGGCTTTCCCGCATCAAAGGGTTGAGGTTAAAAATAGGGTTGAGGGTTAGCGAAAAAAAGCAAGTAAAACTGCAAGATTAGAGTGGACAAACTCTCTCTTTTAGAAGCGTACGAATAAAGAAAAAACTCCTGTTCGGTGAGTAACAACAAAAGAAGAAAGTGTTTATTTGCAACATATACAGAAAAAAAGGTAAAGGGATAAAAGGACGATTAGTAGAGAAAGAAAGGGAAAAGAGAAAATGTTCTTAACTTACAAAGGCTTGCTCAAAATATTTCTCTGAGCGCCTAAAGAGTTCTTTAAGCGATTAGATGTTATTGTTAAAGTTCTGATAGAAACACTCACAGTTCTTGTAGAGTTGGAAATTTGTTCGCAGATGAAGGAATCCTGCTGCTGAGTGAGTTTTTTTGGTCGACGACAGAAGTCCAGTGGGCTCGTCAAAAGGAGTGGTGAAGGGATGCAGCTTTTTGGATTGGTCTTGAATAGTGGACCGACGTTCGTTTTTGACAGCCCTTTTTAGTAGTTCTTCTTAGGTGAAAGAGGTGCTGGAGCTTCCTATCATCGACGTCACAAACGGTGGGCAGAAATCTCACTGTCGAAATAGGCAAGATTCTCCAAATTTATGGAGTTTTGGGAGGCTCCGATGGATCGAGGACTTTTCCCTCCTAAATTGTTGTACAAATTTCCTGGTCCCTCTATTGGTCAGAAAACACATTCTTATCTATGATAAGAATCAGGGCCCTGGGAGCCGGTTTCGAAGGTACTGAAGACAGGTTGAAGTGAAAAAGCTGTGAGGTTTCTCCCATACTTTATGGCTCCATGGAAAGAATAAGGGTGTTGGAATTCCTTATTTTCCAGCTCTCTCCTTAGTCAGAAAATATATTCTTATCTCTAAGAATGAAGGAGCCGGTTTTGAAATTAAAAAGAGGTTAGAGAGTGAGGATACAAAAAATAACGAGAATGTGAACTTGTGAAATTGTTGTTCTCAAATTAAATTCCAACAGAGGGTCATAAAAAACTGCCCCAATCAAGCTTCCCTCGCCCCAGTCGAAGGTAATATGCACTGGCCCTGGCTATATGGCCACATCTGAAAATTTTCCTCTTTCAGTGTGTCATATTTCCTATTTAATCATTTGTCACCAGATGAAATTTCACGCGCAGAATGAGAATAAACGGCTAAAACTGAAAAGAAAAGCCTACTAACTAAAATATACGGATCTGCATGAAAGTTGTTAAAAATGTAATAAACTACTGCAGAGAGCAAAAAAGCCCAGGATTGCATGCATTTTTTTTTTGCAACGCTACTTAAAAAATAACAGGATTTTCTGTCCTGGTTAGCACAAAAAAGCAATCCTTCCTTATTTAGAATTCTGCCACAACATGAGCTTCCGACCTACATTTCCCCATCCCGTTTCATATTTGGTAGCTTTATGCCATGACGTAAAAAACATTAGTGTCAAATGAGCCAAGGGAGATAACTGCAGTTGTTCTATTTAATACCACGTGGTTCAATTAAAGATGTCTGCGCCCACGGATATCACGTTGTTTCAAGAAGCTGTTGGATCGGTTTTAAATGGATGGACAGTTTTGCAGGTAACATATTCATATACTTTGCAGTAAGCATTAAAGTCGTTCAGGAACCGGCTGGTTAGTTAAATCTTTTTCGATTTTTACTACCTTAAAATAAATATTCACTAGTATAAAAAGCAAGGTACCGTTTTCCAGTGCACAGATTTCCTAATTATTGCAGTTTTGCTCTTGCTTGAAGCAGTTAAAAATGTTTAGATTTTTAATTATTTATCTTTCTGTAGAAATATGGACTGATCCGGATCATTGTTTGCTTTTGTTTAGCTTTTAAGTTTTAATGTCACTGTACATCAAATATTTTTATAATTATCTTTGTTTTCTGTTTCTACAACGTAATCTGTATTTATGCATTCTGCAAGGGATTTTTAGTTAACTACAAATATATAATTGTAGTCAACAGAAAATGTATTTTTCCATCAATAAATGTAACGATCAGTATTGCAACACGTGTGGACCGAAAAGTTGAAGTTGGGAAATGAAAACTTTCAATTTTCTAAACAATTAACAAAAAAAGGTAAATGAATAAAATATTTTATTTGTTTTTCTTTTTGTGCAGAATAATTGTGAAAGATTGAGTAAAACTTTAATTTCTATTTAGAGTTCGAAAAAAGAAAATGTCCTTCTTATTGATAAGTTTAAAATTTCATACTAAAACATAAAAAAAAAGCTTAACGAGAAAGTACTTGTTTAATTCTCCTGCACGAATAAATATTGATGATTTTTAAACTTTTAAGTTTGGAGATATGTTGCTATGATGAAAAATATGAAGGAATAAGTTGAGAATTGATCAAATATCGACCCGAGTAAGGACAACAAGCATAAAAAAAGTAAAAGACTATTGTCAAAAATTAAATGGAATGATTCACTGTTTCTGATTATCTGTTATAATCCGCACCAAAGAAGAAATTATTTATTATTGATTTTTAAATTATTATACTAGTGAGTTTTTACTTTTTAGTGATTGTGTCGAGAATCTTCATTTCAAATAATTACGTTCAATAATTCGCCGAAAAAACAGCATAGCAAGATGAAAAAAGGCCCCAAACTTAATAAAAACAAAGTTTTATCGTGAAAAACTAAAATTTTTAAGAGGAAAGACCAAAGTATTTATTGAATTTTTTTTATTTATTTTTTTTATTTTTATTCTTTTCTAGCAGGTTTGAAGTTTTGATTGAAAATCTTTTTTTTTATTTTTAGGTCAGTACATGCTGAACTCGAATTAACAATTAAATTATGATAAAACCTACTGTTTTGGAGTTATCGACAAGAAAAATTCGGGCTCACTCGCGGTCATTCTTCTGCCATTAACGGCTTTGTGTAATTAGATTCACTGCAGATCATTTCCATCGCGCAATCATAACTTTTTGGCCTATTTACTGCTTTTTACTTGTCTAAATTACTGCACATTATCGTAAAGGGTTAGGGTTTTCTTTTTATATAAATAAATAAATATTCATCGAGTCTAGAAGAAACATCAACAGAATGCAGAAAGCACTGGACAGCCATTTTGTTCTATATTTGGGACTCATCAGCAGTGCGCATCCACTACCGAGAATTGAAGCCTGAACAGTTACGTTATCAGGCAAACGTCATACCAACTGTTCCAACGAGCCTTGTTGACAAAGAGGTAACAAATTAAGCTCGATGTTGTGCCACTTGATCATATATTCCATGGTGGAACTCATCTGAGTTTCTCTTTATTTTACCCATAGGACCGTGTCCCCATGACCCACGACTACTATCCCCAAGCCACTCCATCCAGAGCATTAGAAGCCAGTTCAAGCAAGGATACACAAGTGATAGAAATTATTAGAAGGATCCGAGATAATTATAATTAAGTAAAGAGAAACTCGGATATGCGATCGAGCGGTGCTATATCGAGTCTAATTCATTACCTCTTTATCACCAAGGCTCGTTGGAACAGTATTTCTGTATTTGTTTTTATTAAATGCAAAAGACTTTAAATCGACTTTTTATTATTATTTTTTTTTGTAAATCGATTAACTGTTCTACCCAAACCTTAGCTCTGAATTGTAAAATACAAAACCCAATAAAACTAATTAAAAGAAAGCTTTTTATGGCTTGTCTGAATAATATATATTAAGGACTTTTTTCTTTTAATTGAAACCAAAATATGTTTTGATGAAAAATGAATCTTTGCAAGAATTGTTTTTTTCTTTTTTTTTTTTTTTAATTTTAAATGCAAACTGTGATAAAGTTGTTAAATATTTTTAAATTAAGTTTGAATCAGTGTTTCTCAAGAAGCGTTCTTATTAAAAGATCTTTTTTTTTTTTTTTTCTTTTTTCAGATCTTAAATTTGAAATCATATTACACTACAATCTGAGAAACTGTATTTTTTGTGTGTGTGTATATATATATATATATATATATATATATATAATGTGTGTGTATATTTAGGCAGCTATCCTTTCATGCAAGTTTAATATTAAATATGACAAGATTTTCTATAATTTTTAATGTGATCTTATATTTTTTTCCTTTTCAGTTGATAAATTATATAAAAAATTGTACAAATGTTTTGTTTGTTTTTTGTTTTTTTTGCTGAGCACTTTCAGCTTTACATTTAGCTAATTTCAAGATTGAAATATATTAACTGTTAGAAATAGATTGTTGTATGTATGTATTTATATAATGTTGCATTTTCAAAGCACATTCAAGATATTGTGTCCATGTTTATAGTTGATATTACTGAGTTTGTTTTTTTGTTTTTTTTAAGGTTTCCATTATTTTTAGCCTTTTTTATATGTAGATGATGTTATTATATTTGTGTTATCAGCCTTGAAAATGGCTAAATGTATAGCCAAAAGCACTCAGAAAATAAACATTTGGACAGTTTTTATATAATTTATCTACTGAAAAGAAAAAAAATCACATGAAAAATTATATAAAAAACTTAATTCACCTTGTCTGTCATATTTAATGAAACTTAGACACACACATATATAACTGTATGCTGTGGTAACAAGCCTCACCAACCTGGAGTTGGTCCAAGCTAACCCATAATCCTGTACAGATTGCCAAAATCTAGTATTTGCAAACATAGAAAATCTTTCTCTTTCAGCTTGCTGTGGAATATGGCTTTGGTGGCTATCAAAGCAAAGAAAAAGCTGCATGGATGAGTTATGCCATTGATAAATGGTTCTCAGAAAATGGTGAGTGAAAAAGCTTCATCCTTAACAGGTTTGTACAGAATAGCTCCTCTTATGAACATTACACATGATTTTCGACTTCTCCCTTGCTAATCATCACATATGTAGGTGATATAATGGATAAAGACTCAGAATAAGAAATTAGAAAGCCAAACTCAAATTCAAGTTAGTTATATTCACTTACACTAAATACCCTGGTATTATGAATAGGAAGCTGGCCCAATACCTAAATTACTAATTGTACAGATAAAAGTTGTGATATTATATCTACCATCCAAAATGTCTTTATAAAATGTGCAATTTAAAAATGAAGGATATAAATTTGGTAATTTCAATGCAGGGGTGCAAAACTGCCCCCTACCACACACACCATATGTCAGGCTGAGTGATAAGTTTTCCTTTTTTGTTTTCTTCACAATAAACTTTTTTTCTCTTTTGACAGCTAATCTTGATGCATATGAAGTTGAAGATTACCTGAGTGAAGTGCTTAACACAGAATTTGACACAATTGCTGACGATGGCAGTCTCCCTGATGTAAGCACTAAAGACACTTTTCATATTTATGCTCCAGCTATATGGTTGATTTTAAAATTTATTTCTTATGAACTGTAAAAAGAAATAAGCATTTACCAATACTTGGTTGTTAGTTTTAATACAATTAAAATATATTTTATGATGCAAATTAAAATTTATTCAACTTGCCATTGGCAGGATTTAAAATAATTTTTTTAATCTGCTGTTTTTTTTCTTCTGGAATGTCCATCCATGTTGCATTGAAAATGCAAATCAAATTTTCTTTTGAAGAAGTTTCTGAAACTTTCCTTAATTCACAATTCAAAATATTAATTTGGTAGAATTAATGTTAAGCCAATTGATTTGGTCATAATGTTTGATATTTTGGGTGTGCTATTCACCAGATAATTCTCTTCTGCAGATTAGAATTCAATTTTTTCGAATTCATCTTGCATTCCATAATCTTTGACCAACTAATGCTCCAAGTTGTTTACTCATCTTGTCAGGTTTGTGACTATCAGTAGCTGCAGGTTTAAATAAAATTGATAGTTGATATAACTATGGCATTCATTTTTTTTCTCTGTAACTAAATCACTTTTAATGGGAATTTCATTTTGCAGATAGCAAAGGAGATCTGTACAATGTACCAGTTGTGTCAGGCTGGCAAAAAGGAAGAAGTTCGGCAAAAGATTCAGTCAATGCCCAAAGCCCAAGTCGATAAATCACAAAGAGCCAACAGCGAGGAGCAAGAAATTGGGGTTTGTTGTTTTACTTTTTCTTTTAACTAAGAAAACTTATTTTATTAACAGGTTTTATAAAGGGTATGGGGGTAGTCTTGTTCATTTCAAATTTTCAGCATACAGGGTGAAAATTGACACCCCTATTCGGCATAAGCATCATGACATACCCAAAGTGTACATAATATTCTGCTAAAATATATCTAGTTTATATACAATGCATGTAATTTATATATAATATGCAAACATAGATATTTACTCAGCTTATATGTAAATCTATATAATAAATGTCAATGTGTCGCATATTCTCAATTTTACTCCTAGAGGCCGTAACCAATCATATCAAAACCGTTTTGGAATCAGGTCAGATCTGGACCCAACATCCTGAAATTTTGGAATCCAAAATTTCAATTACTGTGATTGTTTTCGTTGATGATTTAACATGATTTGGGAATAATTGAAATGAATTCCCAAATCGAGCAAAAGTCATCCATGGAATACAAATAATTGTTTGTACAAAAAGTAAGAAGGCCCTACACACATCAAATTGTGTTTAAGTTAGGTGGCGGTAGAATAATTATCATTGAACTTTTAAAAGGTAATGCAATACTTAAATGCAGCAATCGATTTTGAGTTCTTCTCTAGTTGCCTATCACATCTACTCCTGCCTACCTATTGTGATGAAGTCCCAATCAAGAACCCTACACAGGAGCTAGCTTAAATGCTGCCCAATACGCCAGCTTTTAAGATAGTATTTTTGTGAGGGGAGAGGGGTCAGTATCAGAAAAATTTGAAACTGACCGTCAACATGCATTATTGATTCCTATCTCTACACAGTCTTTCTATAAATCCTCTAACTCTGATATTAAGCACTCTTTCCCAATAACTAAAGGAAATTATAAAATTGTGTCTGTACACTAAATAATATTCATAGTAATAATAATGTCAGATTATAAATAAAGTCTTAATTCCTTACAAATTACTTTTGTTTAGGTTTCAGATGCAAAAACAGTTTGCAGATATGGGATTTGAAAGATCTTAACAAGAGACATACTGTCCTTCATAAGGGTAATTGAACTTTGCTTTGCTGTGAAAGCTCTTCGTGGCTGAGCAGTCTATAAGTATGCCAGTTTTTACAGTGGTTTCCTTTACATAAGTGAATACAGACTCAAACTTTGCTGAAGGGCACATTTTACTTGATTTTTTTTTTTTCTTTAACTCTGGAAACCCAGGCTGGTAGTCAAAAATTATACTTTTTAAAACCAGTATAGCATATCAGTGACCAACCAACCAACCAACCAACTATTGTTTTTTTAAAAGAACCAATGTTTGTTTGAATTGTCTATGAATCAAATTTGAAATTGAATTCTATTTTTCTTTTCTTATATAATATATTGTTTGTGTGTGTTTATATTGACTGTTGCTGTTTTTCACAGGGACCAGAACACCCAGATGCTCTGAACTCTTCTCAAACTCCTCAAATGATTATTGATGAAAATATGACAGAAGAAACAAACACAACTACCATTTCAACAGGTACCTTTCTCTATCAGAAAATATATAAAAAGGATTGCTAACCTTATTTGATGAGGCATTTTCTTTCAAAGACTTTTTTTTCTTTTCCAAACAAGAGATTCTCTTGTTGTATAGTTATTCAAGTGTATCAGTTTGTCAGAAAATGAGTGGCAAATTGAAGTTCAACTTCCCTTCCTATTTCAAAACAAGAACAAAGATTATTCCCTGCAAAGAAGAAACTGGTTTCCCAGTCCTGCTTTTCATAGATTCTTATTGAGTATCAAATGCAAAACATATTTCTGAAGAATGTATTACAATACTAATCCCACAAAATATCTGAATTAATGGAAATATTCTAATTTCAAGTAAGTTGAAAAATATGCTGGCTAAACAATGTTCAAGTATAAAGTGTGCTTGTGTAGATTTGCAACAGGAATTTGGGTTCTAATGAATTCAAGGATGTCTGTTGTCACTCTACAAGAATTGTTCCCTTCTATTATTTTCCCTTGACAAAGCAAGTCATTAGGGAGACGTTTCATTTTTTAACCGAGAAAAGAAGACAACTGACAAATGCTACAATATTTTTAGCAGTCCGATCCAAGGGAAGCGACTCTGATGTCTGTTTCCGAAGATGGTGTAGAATGTACTTGATTACAGAATTTCAAACGAGGAAAAGCCAGACAAAATGAGGGAGAATTTCTGCGCTTTTTTGACGCTTTTTATTTGTCTGTTTTTCTGTTGCTGATAAAGAAAAGCAATCGAGTAGTCAGCATGCTGTCACCATAATCATTGCTTCTTCTCTATCCTCATGAATGGTGTAGCAAGACAAATTCAGAACCAACTACAATCATTGTAAAACAGTTTTGGGGAATACTAAAATCAGCAAACCCAATCAGTTCAAGCTAATAGTTTAAAACAGATTTCTCCTACATTTAAATAACTTTGCCAAGATTGGAGATCGCTATGGTTCTCGAGAAGAGCAGTCATTTTTTTTCTTTCCTGGATCAGTAGAATCTGTGGTTTTGATGAGTTTGGTGGAAACTGGATTTCACTATCTTGGCTTCCGTTTCCACCACTCATCAAACCATTGATTCTACAAAGGCTACTTTTTTTTAGCAATGTATGATTGTTAGGGACAAAAAGGAAATAACTCTCATAGAATAAGGTGGAGTTGTCTGCTGTGAAGGGGAGAATGGAATTTAACATGGCGTCAAAATAAAATTATTATTGTTTCTACACGTATCTCCGTTTTACCTCTGTCCGGGGGGTGGGGGTTCTTCTTAAGAACCTCAGCTATCTCAAATCTTGACAAAGTTATTTAAATGTTACTTGTAGGAGAAAGATTCCTCAAGTCTGTGGAACTCCTTCCTGTCACAATATCACCCCATAAGCCTCCTTTACTGTCATCATCAAACTCTTTGAGTCTATTATCAACAAGGAGGTTATTGATCCCCTCATCAAAAACAACCAGCTAAGTGATAAACGGTATGGGTTTCACTCCTGTAAGTGCTTGATCGTATCTATATCTCAAAGGCATTTGACTGTTCATACTGTTGGTTAAAAAAGAAAATCGACAGCAGATATGACATCATCACTGCAACATTAGTTAGCAGCCAAAGGTTTTTTTTTATGTTGGGGGATAGATGATAGGAAAATAGGGAGGGGTGATCAACCAGTTCAATTCCACAGTCACACACAGCAGTCACTGAAACCAAAGACTTGTGTACTGAAATAAGACCCCCTTCATTAGTTTTCATGGACATTTTGGTCTTGATAGCAGTTCTCAGCGAGTTGGCATAGTACTCTTCATTAATGGTGTGAACCTTTTGAAAATAACCAATAGCGTTCTTTGGAGCAGGTGAGGAGGGGTGTTTTCATTGCATAAATGGATTGTCTCCAACTCAAAATGATGAACCCAACACTCATCTTTAATTAGGAAACCAGTTGGATTTGTCTATAATCAGCCTGGTGCACTTTTGATCAGATGTCAGAAGATGTGACACCTGCCAAACAGAAGCTTTTGTTATGTGAAGTTCATTTTGCAGAATATTCTCAACTCTCTCATAAGATATGCCAATAGCATAGGTTATTTGATTTAGTCAATCACATGTCATCCCTCACCATGTGGTGAGTACGATCAATGTTTTCATCAGGGGTAGCAGTTGCAGGACTTCCAGACCTTGGGTTATCTTCTTTGCCTAAATTCAGCTGCCCACTTTTGGAATTAATAAAGCTGGAACATTCATTCCCCTGTAAAACTGTAAGACTGCCATTGATAATAAGAGTTGAAATTAATGCATGCAAGATTTCACAGCTCCAACATTACTCCTTCATAGTCAGCCTATGAACCCTCGTATGATCACCAATGAGACTTGGAACTCAAGTTTACTCCAGGCCTAAGTGGAATCTTTATACATGACCCATTGCTAAAGATGTTGGAAAAATGGTCAGTTCATTGTACTGTCCCAGAAAGAACTTGACTTATGCCATGCTTTATGAGTTAGATTATCAAAACTGGAGTATTACTGTCATATCTGGGAGGGATTAATTCCCTTTCTATCCAGCAGACTCTTTCCCAGACACATGGTAAGCGTATTGCTACTCTATCACTGTTTCTATGGCAAATATTTAGACAAGCACCATTCCAAAAGTTCCACCAGTTCAGACCTGCACTCCTGTATGAATGCTACAATCTGAACCCAATTCAAGTCAAGGGTCAGTAGTTACCTAATCTTTACTTCCTACCCTTAAATTCATATCACACACTTTCTTCAGATCCTGTATTAGGTGAACATCAATTTAAAAAAATAAAAAATTTAACTTCATTTCTTAAAACTGGAAGATTAGATGGTTTTTAAATGAAAAATTTAGTTTTTCTCTGAATTTTTTCTTTTAGATTCTTGTCAGCATCAGCAATCCAGTATTGAGTAGATCTACAGATACAGTTTTCTTACATTTTTTTTAATAGTGCAGATATATATATATATATACACACACACACACAATGTATGCAACACATTGTCCTCTTTGGTATACAGTAAAAATATATAAGTTACCCTCACAATGGAATGTAGTGAGTGATGGAGTCTGTAAGAGAACAAAGAATCCTTTTCTTGAAGTCAGTTTGACACCTGTTCACATATATGGCATCATGCCATTTATTTCCCTCTCTGCATGAATAGAACATTCAATAGGGTGAATCTTAAGGGCGACTGGAGAATACATTAGCTAAACTATAGTGATCTGAACAACTTGTGGTTCAATGACATTGCCTTGTTTCAGACGATATTAAAAAAAATAAGAAATACAATGGATTTTAAGGTTTGTAAGCATGAGCAGCAGTTTTTGTTGGGTCCCACCCCCAGCTAAAAATGGTACAAGGCAACCAATAATTTTGATCCTAATGAGTAGAGAGTGAGGATTTTTTTTTCCAACCCAATATTTATATAGAAATTATTTAACATCATTTCATTCTCTAAACTTGACCTTACGTCATCCTTTCACAATCTAATGCCCAGCTTTCTTAACTTTTCTCTTTTTGTCTACTTTCAGGCGATGCTGAAATGGAGGAGGAAGAGGATGGCTGGAAAGTTGTGACAAAAGGCCGATCCAAAAAAAAGTAATTCATACTAAAAAAATTTTTCCTTTATTTTGCTGTTACCTCACATCACACTTGCCTGATGTACATGAAAATTTCCTTCATTACACATGAAAACTAAAAATCTTTTTGTTGACAGAACTGTGATGAACACCACAACTTTAAAGATGGCTGAAAGTTGATTTGTTTTTCAAACAAATCATCATCTGCTAACAGAGGCTGCAAAAGAACAGTTCTGTATACATATGATAGGCAATCTGCATAAAGTTTTGTAATGTAACCATTATATAAGAGTTTATATGGCTGACTCCTCGGTTGTTGTTCTGGAACAAAAAATTTTGTCTGTTTTAAATTATTAATGATTAAAAAAAATATCTTTATATCACTGACTTTCGTTCTACTTTTTTTAGCAATGTATGATTGTTAGGGACAAAAAGGAAATAACTCTCATAGAATAAGGTGGAGTTGTCTGCTGTGAAGGGGAGAATGGAATTTAACATGGCGTCAAAATAAAATTATTATTGTTTCTACACATGTCTCCGTTTTACCTCTGTCAAACTTTGTTTTCCTTGCTCCAAGTTACACAGTAAAGCAAGTCAGTAGAACAGGTGATACAAAAGTATGATTGTTAAAGTTTTCTAAAAAAGAATTCATAACAAATCCAACCTGGCAAATGATGTATGATCTTTTTTTTTATTATCTTTTGAAGCTGTGACTAAAGATTCAATATTTTTGGAGAACAACACGTTGCATCCACCAGAAACAATTAGTCCAAAAGAAAATGGAGGGAAGATGAAATGTTGATTGTAGTGAATCTCTTTCGAAGAGAGCAGTCATTTTCAACAAATAGCACACAAAATGCTGGGCCAATCATTACCGTACAGGAATTTGAACAGTCAATTTTTTGTTCGTACTTTCTTCTTGGCAAATTACTTCAAGGAATTTCTCTCTGAAAACAACAATTGTTAATCAAAATGTTAACTTTTCTGAATTTAAAATTCAAAGAAAAAACAAGAGAACTGTGTTTTATATGTAACTAAAAGCCTGGCCCATTTCCCAAAATCTAACCAAGATATATTTTTGAAACAACACTAGTACTCTCATATTTTTGTTTATTTATATTGTAATAAAAAAAAAAAAAAAAAATTCCAGTTCTACTCCATTATAATGTGTTCTCAAATTTATAACGGATTTTTGAAAGATTGCAAAATAAAAAGAATAATTGCAGTATTGTATAAATAATAGCTTACTTTGTTAAGTAAAAGGAAGTTGAAACTGCAGCTTCTTGGGCAATATTTTTCATCACCACCTTCAAAATAGAAAATATTTATCATTAAATTTGTTTGACAAATTTTTACAAAATATTTTGGAAATTTATTTCCAATGCTTGATTTGAACACATTTAAAATTTTGATTGAAACCATGATAATGGCAACAATCAATGTCTATTGAGTAGCTCTTCAAGTTTCAAACAACACAAATTCAAATTAAGAGTGCATTTGTGGGTACCAACAACCTACCTTGTGACTGAAACACATAACAATGATGCCAAAACTCAGCGTTCAACCCAGGCAAAAAATAAAATGCCAGTTTTTCAGGCTGACAATTTTTTTTAACTTTGTGAAGCTGCAAACTTTACTTACTGATGCTAAAACTTTATCCACATTTTCTTGACCGTTTGATATTTCTTCTTCTGATTTGTCTTCCAACTCAAGAACATCCAAGAAGAAAGCGCTTTCTTCTGAAGAAGCAGAAAATACAAATTTCTGATGTGATGGAATTGGTGTACACTTGTTAAAGACTGTTTGGAAATCCTTGTAAGTGCTTTTCTCTCGGTTTTCTCGAACCTGAAATAATAGCAAAACTTTACAAAAAACAATTCCTGCCCACACAGTGTCTTCTTAGGTTTTTGATATTTCAACATGGATTTTTCTGAACACTTTGCTCTGCACCCCCGCCCCCAAAATTTTGTTTCAAATATTCATTGTAAAGTACAGTTGAATTTCCAGTTGCCATGGAATAGTAAATTTCATTTCTGATAAAAGTACAAATAAGATAAAAACTTCAGAGAAAGCTATTACATTATCTTTCTTATATGGAATAGAGTGAATAAAACACTGAAATAATGCTGTCAAAAAGGTTCTTATAATGACCATATGCTTCTAGTTTAATACATATTTGTCAGAAACAAAAAAAATCTAATGCATGTGAAAATATTTATACTACTACAATTTTCAGCAGAAAATATGTTAGCAGACATTTCTCTAAATTGTCAAATGACACAAGTGACATTCATCTGTAAATTGTTTCAGAGCATTCACTAGAACAAGTGGGACAGAATGAGAGAAAAAAAAGCTCATTTGATAAAAGGAACATAACCTAAAAGGAAACAGTGCAACTAGCTTTAAAAAGACAAAAAGCAGCCGACTAATTTCAAATGTGTGGCAGAATGAAAAAAGAATTCAGTATTGGATTCTATAATGGTCTCAGGGTAAATAACCATGAACTCAGAATTTTAACTTTCCAACCTTTTCCTTTGTGGCTGTAATTATTTTATCTAAAACAATCTAGTGCAAATTCCAGCATTAACCAGAGTATTTTTTTCTGAATAAAATTTTTTTAAGTTCATGCCTTTCCATAAATTACTAACCTGAAATAATATTTTGTAATCTGAATCAAAAACAATTTCAGTTCCTTTTTTTCTAAAGTGCCATAAATTTTTCATAGCATGAAGAAAATGGAAAAATACACATGTTCTATTTAAAAAGAAATTTACCTTCACTGCAATGGCTTGGGAAAGCATTTCAAATTGATATTGATAATCTTTCTCTGGAATCAGTTTATTCTTAAAACTCTTCAAAATTCCAACCTGAAAAAAAAAGAGTAAATGATTTATGGTTAATCTTAGCAATCAATGGTCAAAATAGAATCAAATCCCACAAATGTCTTTGGAATAATGAACATCAAGTCTCTCAATATGAATAATATTTTCAAGTTAAAAAACTTCTTTTAATAATATGTATTTATTCATAAACTTGTATTGGGTTGGCCAGCAAGTTTAGATTATTAAGTTTAAATAAAAGAATTTGTTAATGAGTGGTGAATTATTCAACAAGAAATCTATTACTTGTAAGTAATAAACTTGCTACCAGTACTTGCTTTTTCTTATTTCCATTGTGAGCTGCCAAATTTTCATTAAGTAAAATCTGTGTGCAAATAATTTTTTTTTTTTTTTTTTTAAATCAGAACTGATGACAATGCAAATCTTTTTGAATGAAATCAATTAAACTTAAAATTTGTCAATGCCATTTATGATAAAAACAAAGAAACCTGTCAGCCAACCAAAGAAAAAAAAATAAAGGAAATGAACAAAGTATTCATCAGTGAAAACCAAGAAATAATATCAAATATCAATGAATTATCAATGTTCAAAAAGTTGTAGTGACTTCAGCAAATGAAGCTCACTCACTTCACATGAGTGAATCAGTGATTTTTTTTTTTTTTTTTTTCGATATTAAAAAAATAAATAAAATCAGCTTTGGTTTTCTTCTGTGGAAGAAACATCACTCCAATCTATTGTTAAATAATTTTTAATTAAGAAAAAATTGAACACGATAAAATTTTCTTCTAATTTACTTGAATACAGAAATATTTTGGCCAAAACTGTTTCAGCTTAAAAATTATAAACATTTTATAATTGGTGCTCAAGGATTTAGACTCAGTTTGAAAATTATCCAGAATAGTCAGAAGCAATTAAAGTTGCCACAAATTTATCAACAATTTCTTTTTTTAATTATATTTTTTTATTTTATTAAAAAGGATAATTTTCTACATTAAAATAATCTATTATTAACAAATGGAAAGAAAACAACATTAATCTTTACACTTATAAACATTTGTAAGAGAAACATGAGTAAGTAAAGAAATTGAGTACTGATGAGAAGAGGAGGAGAAAAAGAAGGGAAAAGAAAGAGTAAAAGAGAAATTTCCTACCTCTTTAGCTGCTCCCATCGCAATGACCTCATCTGGAGGAATGTGATTTAAGAGTCTGGCATGGGGAAAGGCATCAGATACCATCTTCTGTACAAGGGGGGTCTTGGCACCACCACCACAAACAATCACCTGAAAAACAGAACAATATTACAATTTTAACAGGCATGGAAAATTGAGAAAATGATTATTAAGACTTAAGTGATGAATATGAATCATACAATAGAAATTTTTAATATATACATGAGAGGTGCTGGAAAGGAGACCCTAATCAAAAGGTTCTTAGCGCGCACACACACACACACACGCCCACCCCTTCTTGGTGGCTTAGATAGTTGCACATCACCCATGGCCCTACATCCTCAGGGGTTGGTTTTCAAGCATAGGTAGAAAATTAAGATTTCAAATGCTTTCATAACAATTTATTCCTTCATAATTTTAACAAATATCTATATTATATATTGGAGCAAATGTGTGTGTGTGTGTGTGCGTGTGTGTGGCCGAAATACATTTAAATGCTAATGAAAATTTATTTAAAAATTTATGAAATAATTCAAAAGATGATGCCAGGTCTCCAACAAAAGTTGATCTGCCAACTTTTTTGTAAGACAAGTGATCTAATTCTTTGTGCTGCAAAAAAAAAAAAAAAATTCATATATGATGTTACTAACAGAAGTAAAATAGACATATAGAGAGGGAGATTTGTGTATGTTACCACATGGAAATTGATGTAAGGAGATAACTTTAATAAAAAATCTTGAAAGAACATATTCAGGAATCTTTAATAAAGCCTGAAGCTCTGATATCAAGTGAAAATTTCATTTGACCTTTTCAATATCAGATTTCTGGATTCCAGCCTTGGAAAGAACTTGCTCAATCTTCATTAAACATTGCGTTTTTAAACTGTTACATAGACTTTCAAACCGTGCCCTGAAGAAGAAAAAAAAAATCTTTAAGAAACTGATACATATTAATTTAAAAAAAAAAAAAAAAATCCTATTTTTATTAAAGCAATTAAAACCTTTATTTAAGTGGGGAAGTAAATAAAGTGATATATATAAATGTATTTTTTTTTCTCCATAGTGTCTGGATTTTTTTTAAGTGGCCTTTATCTCTTAAAATTAATAATACACAATAGCAATGGTCAGCAAGCTTATCTTGTAGTGGCTTCAATCCTCACTGGATCTACTACTTTGTAAATATCAATAAAGGAAATAACATTTTAAACTCTACATTTTAGAAAATACATTTAAAACTACTAAAGTATAAAATCACATTTTTATTGCATTGATGGAGACTTCATAATTTTTATGGCATAAAAAGAATAACCATTTGATTTGGAAAATTTAAGTAATGTTAACATAGGTACCTCAACGAGATCGCTAAAAAAAAGAGTATAGCATGATGAAAAAGACGCCAAACTTGAAAACAAAATTTTATCGTCTAAATGTTTATTATTAAGAAACATCAAAGTATTTTGGGAGTATTTTTCTCCATTTTTTAATTGTTCCTAGCACGTCCGAAATTTTTGTTAAAAATCTAGTTTTTTTTGAGTCAGCAAAATTGACCATTTTTTTCCATTTTAATAAAAAACTGGAAATTTCACATTGAAATTCTTTTAAATATCAATTATCATTTTTTCAAAACTTATTTTAAGAAAATCAGAAATTATAATGTTTATTTAAAATATTTTGAACCAAACTTAACTTAGCTTTTGTGCCAAAAAGATGTAATTTGAAAATAAAACAAAGCAGGTCATAAACTTTCACGTCTCTTGACAGGTGATGAATGACATATTTACGAATTCCATGAGGCTAATTTGTTCTACAGGAGAAAAGTGAAATAATTTACATTTAAGTGAACAAATTATTTACCTCGTTATTTTTAACGAAAACTTTCAGCGGTCTAATTTTTTTTTTTTTGTACTTAGCTTTCACCTTTACATTTATGATGCTTTATGGAAAATATATTCTAAAGAAATTAAAATAAGACTGTTAAGAGTGACATTAAATTTTATATTTCCTAAGAAAGGTATCTAATTAATTTATAGGTACCTTTCTTATGAAATTTTATCAGAATTGTACATAAAATACTATAATTTTATGTACATTTATTACATTTTACTGTTATTTGTATTCATTTTATTATTAATTTTGATATTTCATTTATGGAAAAATGTCATAACTGAGATTAATATAAAAATAAGATCATATAAATTTCATAAGATGATACTGATACTTGTAGGTACCCTTCTCAGTTGAAATTGAAAAATCAAACTTCTCCACACATGTTTCGCAAAAGTAAAAACCTTAACAGCGGAGAACAATGCTTAACTCAAATAACGCAACTTAATTATATTCTGGTTGGTCTTCCATACTTTATAATTACAGCCCGGTTATAAGCACAAAATTACATTTCTTAATTACTGCGGATCTTCTGATTAGTCAAAATGATACAATTTACAACGATTTACAAGATCTATCTCATAAGGACACTTAGGAAAGCCGACGCTGCTTTTAACTAATTTTATAATATTCTAACAACTTAAATGTAAAATCTATTATAATTAAAGAAATAACAAATAATTGTATTAAAAATTCATTTTTCATCAAAAAAAATTTTTTGCTTTCAGAAAATATTGTCCATATTCATAAAAGCAAATAAAAGCATTTGAAATTAAATAATATCTTTGTTTTATTGAGTTTTGTATGTTACAATTCAGAGCTGATTTTTAGGTACTGCAGATCCTATTAAAAAAAAAAAAAAAAAAAAAAAAAAACATGATTTGCATTCCTCAAAGCCCTATGCTTTTAATTATTGTAATCACTAAACCCGATGCGATCAAATTTCTAGCGTTTTCATAAAATTAGTTGGGGGGGGGGGTAATAAATATTTTTTTAAAATATTTCTACCATGACTTTAATAAAAAAAAAACATTTATAATAATTTCGATCATCTGTGAATAGTTCCTGAAAGTTTCATTAACATCCAACAATTATTTCTATTTTTGCACGATTTTTCAAATTAATGTGTGTCATACCAAAAAAACGTGCTAAAAATTGTCTATGTTATTTACTAGTTCCACTGATACAAATAGAAACAAGGTTTTTTTAATCAAAATTTAGAATGTTCTAAAAAGAAGGAAAAATTTTTTAAAATAATTAAAAAAAATCTTTGGTCTTTCCTCTTAATAATAACATAAGCATTTAGACAATAAAATTTTGTTTTCGGCAAGGTTGGCGTCTTTTTCATTAAGCTATGCTCTTTTTTTTAGCGATTTTGTGGCGGTACCTATGTTAACAATCAAGAAAAATAATCTCTTTTCACACATGACAATTGTAAATTGTTCTTTGGAGAGATGCAAAATAGGATTGCATCTTAAGGCAGTGCCCATCTCCTCTCCAAGTTATAAGATACTTTGAGATTCCCTCATTAAAGGATTAATTAGACTCTCTTCCATAATGCAGGAAATTATTTTAGGACCAGTCTTTTTAAAGAAAACTTACCGAGAGACTGTTGTACTGAAGTCAATGCCTTCATAAAGAGAATCTACAGAACAGTGAGAATTACTAAGTGTTGAAAGTGCATGTTTGCACATCTCTGCACCACGCCGGAGTTTGGCAAGGGAGCGTTTATTGTCACTAATATCATGCCGACATTGTCTGGGTAGATGAAAAGAGAAAAAAATATATTGAATATTTCACCTTGGTTTAGAACAAAATCTTGTAAAATGAAGTTATATAAAAATAACAAAATGATAAACTCATAATAACAATAAAAGACACTTACACCCTACCAATTCTAAGTTTCACAAGTTTTCAATAAAAAAAAAAAAAAAAATCAACCCTTTATTTTTGATTATCTGATTGTAATGATATAAGCTTTATAACAAAAAAAAATCTATTGAATATGAAAATACAAAAAACAATATTAAAAAAATTATGACCTTATCTCTTGTATCAAACAAAAATTATGTTCACTTTTTAAAAGAATCAAAAGGGCCAAATGAACAAAGAAAATCATAGTATTCCTCTATGATGTTAATTTTTACAAAACATTCCCATATAATGTTTTTTAAAAAAAGAAATTCTTTCAAATATTGTGTTCACATGTTCAAACTATTATTAAAATAAATTTGTAATGGGGGAGGGGGGGAGATGTCAGTAATGTTGGTGGTTAATGTATTATTTTCCCCCATTGTTATTTGTTGACTGTAATGGGGTTGGTATTAAGTTGGATGTAACAGGGTTGATATTAATGACAGAAATTGAAATGAATTAAAATACACTTGTTGACATAAATAGCAAGGATTTGTATTTTCTTTTTGTGATGCGAATTACAGAATATTAGTATGGTGTGTGTAAAAATGTTCTGTCTTTTTTCTTTTTTAAAAGTCAGTGCTTACTTGGTTTGGTTCCAAGAATTTCGTTTGTGAGGATGCATTTGAAATAATCTTTTTTTGATGTTCCCGGAGTGCTGGCAGAAGTGTGTTTCTGTACTGCTACTTGATTCTCGTCTACTCTGCTACTGACTACTGCTATAGGTACAAGTCTACACTGCTCTATGGACTCCTGTGGTGGAAAGGTCGTTTTTATAATGATGAGGGTTAGGATGATGAAATCCTTTTTTTATCATCACTGATGACAAGTTTATTTTTAGAATGATGAAATATCATCATCATCATTCTGGACCATAACAAATTATTGAATAAGCTTAGTTAAGTTTAGCACAAGGAAACAATATATTGGGGTACCAGTAAGGTTTAAACTGCTAGACATTTGTTAACTATCACAGCAACAAAAATATAGAAATATAAACTTGTTTTTAATAATTGTCTAAACACCTATGACTTTTACCTTTTGAATTCTCCTTGTAGATGTGTTAGCAAAACTTCTGTAAAGTTGTCTCCCCCTAGTTTATAATCCGACACTCCTGTCACAATGGAGTAGAGGCCACCAGCTACAGAGACGACAGTTACATCACAGGACACACCACCAAGCCGGAAAACCAACACGTATCTGAAGATAACAAAGAATGCTAGACATTATAAAAAAAAAAAAAAGAAATCTATTCCTATTATTTTATGCAAGAGAAACTAAATATTAATATTTTCAATGAATGATGAGAACAATTGGTAAAATTCACCCTTGAAAATAAATATGTTTGGTCATTTGGAGCCAAGAACTTTTCAGCACCTCATTATATACAATATATTAATTATTCCCAAATTTTTAAATGTTATTGAAGAATAAAAAAAATATTTTTTCAGATATTCGACAAACTATTTAGAAAATGCACTAACAATTTTATGACAGGAGGAAAGAAATGGAATAAATACAAATATCACTGATAGAAAAGGCAGTGATTATGTGTTTAAATTACTCATACAAACAAACGATAACCAAAATAAAAGTATATAATTTGACTTAATACTTTATACATACACATCAATATATGATTAATACAATTTGTCACTTAGTTGATTGAGGCTATATTCAGATGTGTATGTAACGTTTTAAGCCATTTTGAATATTCCAAGTTGATAACCAATCAGAAGAGGATCATGCTGTATATATGCAAATAATTTGCCATTGATACTCAATTAGCAAAGAGGGACCTTTAAGTGAGTATGGGGGTTATTATGTAACTGTTGCATTCAGTGGGGAAAATAAAAATCTTGCCTATTCTTCACATTTCATGCAAAACTGCATCCCCCCCCAAGTCTATCAGCTTGTTTACAGTCCACATTTATTTACCTAAATTCATTATTAAAACACCACGTACAGGATTAAGGTGAATGTGAGAAAGGCAGCTGATATCAACCTCAAAAGAAGAGTTTGTTTTTTTGTTTTTTTAAAAAGGGATTCTGCAAGAAGTGTGGGAGATGAGTTTGAAGAGGATGAAGGTTCTAAGATTTTTTTTCCTTTAATTTGTTTTCTAAGAAAATCCCAACCTGGAAAGACATCTCACACAATATCATTTTTCTCTCACTTCTCCCAGTATTCCAAGAAGATTGTTCAAACTAAAGACAATCCAAAACTGCTTGGAAAGCAAATGACTTTTTAGATTTACATCAATTAACAAAATGCTTGAGAAAAGATACAATTTTCTTCCTTTTATTTGTTTTAGGTTTTCATTTTATCATTTTTAATGCCACATCTTCAATAATATGCAAGCCTATAATTAAAAATATTTAAGTTTTGTTATGTGCCACAGCTGTTTGAGGTTTCCTATAGCCCCACTAAACTTAAATAAAATCAATTCAGGTTTGCTATGGTAAAAATTTTCTATCCCAAGTAAAAATCATCATGAAAATGCCAGAAGTCATTTTGTCACAGCTTATTTTCTCTGAAAAAATAGATTTTCATACTTTTATAGGGGTAAAATATTGAAAAATGAGTTTTATCATCATCTAAACAAAATATCAAAGAAACTTTTGATCTGAACCCCATGAAACTAGGTAGTTTTGAAAGCAAACAATATGTTCTATCATTAAAAAGTAAAATTGGCTGGTGTAAATGACGCAAAATTTTTTTTCAGTGGGTAAAACATGAAAAAATAGTGAAAATTTTGCATTTTTTTCTAGTTCTAAAAAATTTTCCCCAATAATGAGAAATCATGGGGAGGGGGGGTCAGAAAGCCTAAATATAATTACAGTATTTCAGGCATAAAATTGAGAGTTTGAAGGAAAACAGCATTCCTAGGGAGTCAAAATGCAACAAAGTACATTGTTAATTTTCATTTATATGGAGCAAGGTGTTAAAAAAAAAAATTGACACAAGGCGATTTATCCGCAATTCCTGACCACCAGAAACCAGGAGTTTTTTTGTTTTTTTTTAAAAAAGTAGCAGTGATAAGGAAAATTAAGCTAAATTGACTTTGATATGTATGGGTCAAAGGCCAACCAGCCAGTAATAAATGCTAGAACAAGCCGTCATCAGCTTGTAATAAATCCCACCACTTACAACATAAGAGCAAAGAGTGAAAAAAATAAAGGGCTTGATATGGGATTTTTTTTTTTTTTTTTCGAACCTATGTTTGAACAATGGCTTTATGTGTTGTTTTGTTTTTTAACACCTTGTGACCCAGTTGATGACAACAATACTTAGTAGATGACATCGTTTTTTTTTCACTGCATGTCTATCGTATTTCCCATCATCAGGCCATATAGCGGTTCCTTTTATTCAATGATTTTTACACCAATTTAAAGAAAAAGGATTGAAATTTGAAAAAAAATTTGTTTTGAAGTGAAAAAAAATTTTTTCATTAAAAAGCGTTTTTCTCAGAAAACTGGCCATAATTTCTTAAAGCTAACACCCGAGTGACATTTTTCACAGCCAAATTGAAGATTAATTACCAGAGAATAATTCCATGTGCAAACAATAGCCGTCTTCCATTAACATGGCCTGAAAACATCTAGAAGTTAACTGATTGATCAAAAACTTGTTGCACATGTCTTTTCCACAGTTAGGTTCCATTATTTCATCTTGATGTTGTCATTTTCAGACAGCCAAGTCATCAAGGATTCAAGAAAATAGTTTGGCAGAGCTTTGCTTTGAGAACTTTGCATTTTATGAGACTGACAAATGGAATTTTTTTGCCAAATATTTCATTCAAGCGCCATGTTGGATTTTCCTATATGACAAAAACAAGTGTTTTAAACAGCTGTGGTGCAAATTTAGAGTATTTTATTTAAACGTTTTTTGTTTTTTTTTTATAACTGACAAGGTTTGTCTATTCCGTTGTTTTAATGAATTTTCAATGTCAGCATTTGAGAAGCCAAACAGCTTTATGAAATTTATCAAGAAAATGTCCAAAGTTCACGTTTTTAGTTCTTGTAATTTCGACTGTCACTTGTTATTATCCATTTGCAACAGAAAAGATCGGATTAATTTGCACCAGATCGGATTAATTTTAAAAATTAAAAAAATAAAAAAATTGAATAACTGAAATTCAATGTCTGAATGATATCTTGCCACCTAAATACACATTATTTTGGAACATTATGAACCTTTTGAGATTGAAATTCAAATATTTAAAGTCTTGTCTATTCAGCAAATAAACATCAAAAAGTACTAAAGGGCTTACTCACCCAGAGGACATATCTTCATCCAGTTGCATATCATATGCAAGGATAGCAGCTGTAGGTTCATGGATAAGTCGAAGGATATTAAAACCAGCCTTTGTGGCAATTTGCCTGAAAAATAAAAAATGTGTTAGTGACATGATAAAAGATTTCATCACTTTACAAAAAAAGAAATTATCAGCACACACTTCTCTATTGATGACAGAATGTACCCAGCAAGGATTGAAATCACACAACTGACAGACAAGCAGAAAGCTAATCAATTGTTCTGTCTGGATTTATGACAAATGAGAACAGATTAAAAAATCCATTTAAAAATTACTGTTATTTACCATATGGGTATGAAAATTAAGCTAGCAGATATAGATGCATAAAAGTTTCAACAAGAGGTGTGTATTCCATAAATAAGTAAATTAAACTTTGTGCATGTGTGCGTGCCCACACTTTCACACAAATTGTTATTCCAAAAGTAATGTTTCCTATTTGGTTGACCTTAGATGCAGATGTTGGTAGGAGAGTTGAGGTTAAACTATATTATCAATAACCATAATTTATTTTGTTATAAAATGCAAGTTGGCAAAATGGCATGAAAGTTCATATGAAGTAAAGATGTTTCATTGAAATTCCTTCCGCCTTGAAAAAAAATTGCCCCCATTGACAGTAATCAATGCTTGTTGAACATTTATGAAAACCAAACAATGGAGATGAGCACAGAGATTGAGTAATGTTTTAACTGTGGTGACAGCAATGTGCGTGAAAATCTACATTCTAGACAACCTTGTAAAGTTCTCAAACAGTGGAATTGTTCATCATTGACAAAAATGCGTAGCCAATGGTGACAACTGTATGGAAAAATAGTGTTTTGTAGATAAAAACTGGCTCTATCAAATGGTGTTATTGCGCTTCCTGTATCTGTTGTACTTTCCATGGGGAAACAAAATCAAAAAGCTTTGAAATACAAACATCTTCATATATTTAATATTTAATAAATGACAATCTCTGCTGATTGACTTATTAGGAAAAGTTAATTGAAAATCAAATACCAAGAAAGCACTGGATACTCACCGTAGCAAATTTTTCTGTTCTTCAGTGAAATTGAGAGGCACAGCAAGAACAGCATCATGACAATCCTTACCTGCCTTACTTTGGCCAATTTCTGGAAAGAAAAAAAAAAAAAAAAAATCACAAACATCTAACAATGTAGTGAATTGAAAGCAACATTACACTTCTTTTTTATACATCAATATACACCCCACTATTCCAATGAGCAGTTGTTAAGGTTTCTGGTTAAAAAGTCAACTTTAAAGAGTTTAATGAAAATTTGTAATTCAAACTTTCCTAACTATAATTTTTTTCTTTTTTTTTTTTTTTTACAATGAAATATTTTATTATTTGATTCTACAAGTAAAAGTTACTTGCTTGACAGAGAGAGTGATATTTTCTTTGTTTTAACAAAGAATAAAGAATATTTTATATTATTAAAATACTTCATTAAACAGGAAAATTGAAAATTTAAAAAGATATTTAAAAAAAAATTTTAAAAATTAAAAAATCACTCAGAAAATACACTACAGGAAAAGAACTTAAAATCAGATTTAAAAAAAGTTACATACATAAACTAATTCCAATATTTTTTTAATGGCTAAAACATTGTCTTCTTCAAATAAATTCATGAATTTCAATCTTTTTATCAAATTCTTGGAACTTTTGTGTAATAGGAAGAGGCACCAAGACTTACCAAGAAGTTTTTTGAATAAAATTTCCACAGTTTCCGATACAGTAAAAGAGGTTCGCTTGTTTTTAAAGTCCACCTCAAATGCAGTCTCACCATTTTTGTTGACAACCTGGAAAGATGCAGTCAAAAATCAGAGAAAAATGTTTAGTAGATTTTCTGAAAGGTCAGATTCACAAGTGAATACAGAAAAATCTCTGCTACAGTAGATACTGACTAAGATTTGCTTAGTCTGGTAGAAGGTCACAACAGTGAAGCATGGAGAAAAAAAAGATTATAAATGATACTACTGAATACTCAGAGTATTTTCCCTCAAGTTTATGCCCCTATACCTTCAATAGCAGAGTTTCATTGATATGTAAGATACATTTGTTATACAATTAGATAAGTTTGGATGAGACTCCAACAGAAAAATATATAAGACAATTTGAAAAACTTCACTTGCGACATGTTTCACTAATGGATTGGTGTCAAGTGAAAAAATAAATTATTTTTTCTCTAATGATGCAATTTTGTTGGAAGTGTTTTATATTGGTTTATATATTTACCATGTATATGAAATAGACCAATAGGTTTGTAATGATATATGTAATGAGCTGAAGATTGATCAGAAATTTCCATTGTATAATGTCTGACCTATATGAATTCAGCACTGAATTTAGTGTATTGACAAGGAAGAAGAAAAATGAATACTTTTCAAAAACAAAATTTTTTTTCATTGTCAAAAAAATTTGTTTCATTGATTTATATTGAAACAAAACAGGAAAAATATTCAACTTACATGAGCCATGCTGCTAGCAGCAAACTCTTTGGTAATTTCATGATCAAAAGGTCGACCTAATGCCTGTTTGGCATGGACAATTGTGTTTTTAGAATTTCTAATCACCCCTTGTTTTGCAGCCATTCCCACGGGCTAGAAAAGAAAAAATATCATTTGTAAGTTTCATTCATCAAAAAGAAATCCAATTTAGAAAAATTAAGGTGTTTTTTTTAAATTGATTTTGTGCCAAGCAAAAAGCACCCAAGATTTCATTTATGTTACAGACAATATTCTCACCAGTGGTGGATTTAACCACTTTCAAGTGACAGACAAAAAGCAACTCTTAAAATATCTAAGCTGAGTCATCTTACTCTGGTAATGACTCAATATTTTTAGGCAATTCCTAGGTGTTAATGAAGTACAATGAAAGCAACAATATCAGGTTGACATTGTTGATAGTATAAAGGAATGTCAGTATCAGGTGGGTGGGGACATTAAAAAAAAATAAAAATAAAAAATAGAACTGTGAAAGATTTTTTATGAAATAATACATTTTCTAAAGATGTTCCATTTATAACATGAGGTGGTCATTTCAAGTCACCTGCATCATATTTAAATCTGATTATATATGAAGAATATTGTCAAATTAATAAGCACTTGCCACAAATAAAAATACACTTAAAAATATTTTAAGAATCCAAATCTTGAAAATTCTTTATCCTACCCACATCTCACACTTAAAAAAAAAAAAACCATAAACACCTTTTAACATCTGAATGAAATTTACATTTTCAAAAGAAAATGAAGTGGAATTTCTGCAGGTGAATATTTATCATATAGTGCTATTAATCATATTTAATATTTATCATATTAGTGCTATTAATGTTAACTTTGTTGAAACCAAGTGTGGCACATGGTCATATTTACAGAGCACCTAATTTCTTTTCTCCAAGTGCTTCCAACCTGTAGTGTAAGGCTTTTAAGAATAAATTCTCTCATTTTTCTAAATGTTGCAAAATTAATTATTTCAATTATGTGATAATTGTTTTATCTTTGTCACAATACTATCAGGCAGAAATCTTAGTCCTTTAGATTAAAGTGGAAAAATTTTAAAGGAAGAGGTAATTTATCTATCTAGCTTTATATAAGATCAGTGATGATTGGGTTATGACCTTAGGTATCTTAGTTTTTTGACAGTGTTCAATATGCTGGACTTCTTCACAGGCTCAAGGGATACGATGTCTCTGGCCAAATATTTGACATCATTCAACCATTGTTAACCAATTATGTAAAGAAAGTCATGAAGAGTCACTTCTAGATCCTTTCACATTAATGAATCCCAGGTCTCTATCCTTAGACCTACGTTATTTTCTTATCTTCAACAACCTTCCCAATGTCATTCCCTGCTATGTTTGATGCTACTGACAACTATTTATTCCTGTTTTAATAATAAGTTTGGTCCAGCAAGTAAAACTCGTAGCTGCTCTCATAAATGACCACCAATCAGTTGATAACTGGAGCAAGAAATGTCTTGTAAATGTTAATGCCTCCAAAAAGAAATTGCTATCTTTTAATCATTATAGAGAACATTTTTGGCCTTCCATCAGCATGGCTGATGCTAACCTCCAGGAGAGCAAATCTTTGGACCTTCTTGGTCTCACATTTTCCACTAACAAGAAGTGGAGTGATTATATTTAATCAATTGCTAGGATGTCTGCTACTAGTAAAGTTGGTTCACTGTGTTGTGCCAATCAATTTTTCTTGCTAGAATCCATCTTACACATTTATAAAATTAACATTCATCCATGCATTGAATATTGCTGTTGTATCATGTCTGGTGCTCCTGCTATACATCTTAAGATTCTTGACAAAGATCAAAAGGAGGATCTGTAATGTTATCGGTCCTTACCTGGCATCTCAACTTCAGTCACTTTCTCACTCCTGTGACATGTGTTCCCTCTGTTTTTTCTATAAATATTTTCATGGCAATTGTTCTTAGCTCTTCGCCTTGGTACCTTGACCACATGAATTTACGCATGCTACTAGATTGACTACTAGGTTTCATCATTTTACTGTAAAAATAGTCACATGTAACCATAAGTTCTATTCTAATAGTTTCTTTTCTTGTATCTCACCTGTTGAACTCTTTCCAGTTTCTTACTTCCCTACCACCTATGATCTTCAAAATTTAAATCCAAGATCAACTGCTATCTTTCTGAATCATTGCCCTTTCACCACACTACAGCTTTTCTCATTTTCAATTTCAGTAACATCTGGTGTCTTGGTAGCAAATGATAAAAAAATTTCATTGAGCCACAAGAACTTACAATATCATGCAGTCATGACTTTGAACCCTAAAACTGAAAGGTTGATTTAAAGCTCAAAAGACAGATCAAATAATGGTATTGTGATAAAAAAGAAAAACAGATGGAGAACAATTTAGTGATATGACAACAAGTGAATATTTACACAACTTCTAAATAGTTCTATACATTTAGATGTTTCATACTCATTTAAATTATTAAAATATGATAATGCATTTATGATTTTTTATTTTCATTAGATTTTTTTTCAAGCAAAAGCTAGAATGTCAAAAACTATACTTTGTATCAAACAGGTTATATAGGGGTGTGGGTGGAAGAGTGTTCAAAGAATTTGAATATTTGGTCAACTGATGCATTTGCTTATAAATGTTAATCAAACTGTCAAGTTCCATTCATAAACCAAACAGTTGACATTGGGATTAAAAGAAAAAAAGGTTATTACATACAATATCATGTTCTGTAAATGCCACATAACAAGGTGTGACCCGATCACCAAGATCATTGGCTATCACATCAGCACGGCCATCCTGTAAAAAATGAAAATTATTTCTTAGACGAGGGTCAGAACAAGCATGCCACCATCACTCTCAGGCTTCCATGTCAAAGGAAACAAATAATGATAAAATAACTGATGTAAAATATCCAAACAATGTAAAATATAATTTGTGAAGACCAATTTTATGTTTAAAATTTTTTTATGTTTTCATCAAATGTTTTGCTCTGAATGAGCATCATCAAAACAACTTGTACAAAACAAAATGTTAACAAAAAAAACAAATTTATGTACCCGTCAGGTTTTTACAAATTTCATCTTACATTTTTATATATATATATATATATATATATATATATATATATATATATATATATATATATATATAATAGCTGTACACTCGTATTTGAGGACAGCCATCTACTAGGGCAGCTAGCCAATCCCTATTGCAGATGCCTGCACTGTGGTTTATACTCTATGCTGAGCAGACCTTAGTCACAGTTTCTGGGAATGAGCATGTTATCTAGCATGATCAACAATGTGAACAAGGCCAGCATGCCCAATGACTTGTGAGTTTGTGCTCGAGATTATATATATATATATATATATATATATATATATATATACACACACAATGTCCAATGTGAAAAGTTTGATCACTGTTAATCTGCCTCAGTACCCACCATTTTCCCACATCACTTTCTCAGAAAAAGAAGCTCATTTTCTATCAGTATTATTCTTTCTTTGAAGAAGCCATTTTATATATTTGGAGAAAGAGAGGGGAGAAGAGGCGGTCACAGAATAGTTAGGATTAGGGTCGGTATAAAAAATATAAATGGCAAAAACAGAATTTAAGATCTATGCTGAAGTTTTTTTTTGTTGGCACTAATTCCTTTAAGAAAGATATCTTTGTCTTCAGTCCCATCATTAAACATCAATTTTGGACTGAAGTGATTGATAGAGAAAAGTAAGTGAGCAAGCCTTTAGGTAAAACACTCTCCCATAACTACCTTACTGCCCAGGTAATAGTAAATAGCCATTACACTCATTATCAAACTTGGCATGAACCAGTGATGTGTGTGAATGCATAAAACTTTGGTCCATAGCATTAATTTTTGTTTTGTTTAATCTTTTAAATTTTGACCAACTTAATATTTTGTAAAATCAAAATGAGTTCCCTTGAATCATAATTATTCCAATTAGAAATCCAACCTAACAAAGATAAGTAGTATTAAACTTTAGCAGGTTAGGTTTATTTTAGCAGGTTAATTCAAAAAGTATATTACACAACAGTTGTTCTTAGTTTAGGGAAAAACAAGAATTGTGAATACTGATTTGGAAAAAAAATTATTTCATTCAGTAGAAAAGATGAATCTTGAGAAAGGTTTGAATTATTCCATTAGTTACCAAAACTGGCATTCCACAATAATGGTTCAAAAAGAGTTTTTGACTAGATATGAATTTTCCCATGGTCTGGCTAAACTCTTCTGATATCATGTAATCCAACATTACCTGCCATATGATACTAAAAGAGAAAATAGGCACCACACTAATCCTCTGCAGAAATTCCATGAAAGACAAAAGTTTAACATGACTCCTGATTAAGGTGTGGGTTATGGGATCAACCAAATAAAAAAAATATTTGTCAATGAAACCTCTCTAACCAGACTCAATAGCATATATAACTAAAAAGAAATTACAGAAATACTCGTGTGTTTGTTAAAAAAAATAAAATTGGTTTGGCTTATAAGCTCTTTTATAATACTATGAGTGAAATCAAGCCAATTTTTGGTAAAAGGCACCACAATTGTTATCTCTAAATATTTTTTTAAGTCAATGAAAAAAAAAATTCGTTTTCAAGATTTTTGTTTATTTAAATCCTAACATTTTCTACTTACAATATTACACTTCTGTCGGTTTTTCTTCTTTTTTATTTTTAATTAATAAGTTTAAAAAAACGTGTTTTTTTTTTTTGCTTTTGTTTTTTATTTATTTGCTACATGTGCAAGTGCATTTTAAGTTGCATTTTAGTGGGATTGGAATTTGTTTTTGTCAGTTTTGAAAGAATTCGTTCTGGCCAATTAGAAGTATGAGACAATTAGATAAAAATAAAATCCTAAGTTTACTCACGCGTAAAATACTAACTGAAGAATTCCACACACCTGTAAAAAGTTCTTGAAAATAATGTTTGTTACATTCATTAAAAAATTAAAATACCTACAACTGTTTTCTTGATTTTTATTTAAACGAATATTTTTTTAGCAATGAAATACCAACTGCCGATTAGGATTGGTTTTACTTTTGGGTTTTGACTTTTTTTGAGGATTATTATAAAATTGTACCTTCTTTTTTGCCAGATGTGAAAGGTCGGGAACACCAACGAGGCATAAAAGAAAAAGATGGATATAATTTTGAATTCAATAATTTATTTGAAAATTTATATTTGCCTCTAGTCTTGTGTTTTAGCCAGTATGAAAAAATATAATATATATTTTTAAAATGGATTCAATATTATGAACAAATAAAGGAAAGCCTACGTCTCATTTGTTTCTCTTTACTTTAGTTTAACTCAAACGAACCGAACGAAAAATATATTAGAGGCGAAAAATTTAATTGATAAGCATTTTCCCCAACATGTGCTTAAAATTGAAATTATGTGCAAATTAAAATTTATTTATTGTTTATTTCATATATATATATATTATTTAATAATTTTAAAAATTGTAATAACAGTGCGTTATCTTTGTTTTTATTGTTACAAAAAACTTTAAAACTTTTTTCTTTCACTTCATATTATATTTGAAAGCTGCAAGATTCATTCACGGTTAACAGAATCGGAAGATCAAATAGCTTTCTATAACAATATTTTTTTCATTATTTCAAAACTAAAACGATTCAAACGAAATATTAAAAAAAATGAACAAAATCCGTAAAGTTCTCTTATCAGTGACACTAACACGTGTTTCAAGTATGTCCCCAAAATCCAAAAATTTACATCCTTTTTTTCGAGGCAAACACAATGCCTTACTTAAAAAGGCCTATAAAATTATTTCAAATCAACAAAAATAGCATTGATAACGCCAAAAACTAAGGGTATTATATATGGCAGTGAAATAATGGCAGTGTAGCATCATTTGTGGGTATTTGGTGAAACATATTAGAAGTCTATAATGTGGATAAAAAAAAACACACGTACTTGAAATTTTGGGATTCGTTCGCACAAAGGGAGATAACTACGATGGATCTACTTGAAGGCAACCAAAAAAAGTTGGGTTATATTGTTTAAAACACGAATAATAACATAAAATTCATATATTAAAACGAAAATCTTACTTTGATAAAAGCCACACAGGCTGCCGAGGAGCCGAAATGTACGCCTAAACCTGAGTCGGGTGATAAACTGGTAGACGGAGCCGAATTGGCCATGACTGCTGCCATAACGTTTAAAGGTAAATTTGAAAATGGGAGATTTAAGTTTCTACGGATGTTCACGAGGAACGCTTATGAATTACGGAAGATCATAACATCCATAATGAACCTTTCGGTCTTATCATTATTTTTTTTTTAAATAAAGGGTTATTAATAAAATGTACAATAACTAAAAAAAAAAATAATTATAAACATGAAAATAACGATCGTAGTTGCAGTTGTAGTAAAGTCGTGTATTTATTTTCTAATCTCCAAAAATGTTGGTATCTCCAAAAATTCGATAAAAAATAAGCATACATGATGAAAGAATACTCCAAACTTAATTATTAAATTATTTTTTAAAATACTTTTTAGAACCTTCAAAATTATTGTGGTTAAATTTTCTTTTTTTCTTGTGTCAATGAGTGACCATAAATTATGGGTAATTCGATCGTCTATTTGTGGTGAGAAACAGTGATTTATAAATTCTTGAAAAAATCAGATATTGAAACATTCAGGACTTACTTATCTTAAAAACGTTTCTTTTTTAGAAAATCTTGGTAAAAACATTTTTTAATCTGTTACCCCGACACAGTTAATTAATTTTATGAATTTTTGAGAAATTAGTTATTAGGACAAGTCTTCTTTTTTTACTTTTTTTTTTTTTTTTTTTTTTTTTTTTTTGTCAAACAGGATCCCCAACTACAGAAAATCTGCTCTGAATCGTAAAAATTTTTAAAAAAATGCAATCAAACTAAGATATTATTTAATTAGAAAAGCTTTTAATTGCTTTTATGAATAAGATATATATATATGGACACTATTGTCTTAAGAAAAAAAAGTATTTTCAATGAATACTGAACGACATTATCCTAAAATAAAACGTTAACTATAATAAATTTAAAATTTATTGGTCATTTTCTAACATTTCCTCAACAAGCGTCTTCGACCATAAAGCCAAACTACCTAAAATTCAATAAAATATTAGATTACTTAGAATATTTTTTTATTTAAGACAACTGGGTTGTTAAAAAAATATGTAAAAAAAAAGCGTCTACGAGGTATTCATCAAGTAATTCTTACTTGATAAATACCAATACGCTTTACTTAAAAATGTCAAACGATTATTTTTAAATTACTGGAGGTCGCTGAATTGTAGTAAGCTTTTCCATTTATGATTAGTAAATATGCTTTTTTATAACAGTAATAATTTATCTATAAAACTGTCAACACCTCATAAAAACACGCACTTCTGTGTTAAAAATGCTTTTCTGCGATATTTTACACTAAAAGTAATATTTGTTTTAATTCAGATTAATTAAACTTTAAATCTGTTAATCTTCCTCAAATAAAAGTTTTAAAAAAAGTATATTTTCTTTTGTAAATTAATATAATATTTGTTAACAAAGATAATTATGTTGTGTTGACAGACTTGTCAATATGGCTGATTTTAAGGATAAAAAAAATAATTCCAATCAATTTATCGGTTTGAAGTATTTTGCTTACTGGAAAAATTAAATTTAATCTATTAACTTGGAATTAAAACTAAAATAAAAGCTCCACGAAAGCTTTAAAAAAAATGAATTTTAAACCTTAGCTATAGCTTCTTCTTCTTCTTCTTCTTCTTCTTCTTCTTCTTCTTCTTCTTCTTCTTAAGGTACCTAATTTTGCATATACTAGGTATTGCGACGGACTTCTAAATTTAACTAATTTAAATGCCCTCTTCGAAATTAAAATTTGGTTCTGTTTGAAAGATAATGGCCTAAAGCTAGTCCGAATTAAAAGAAAAAGTAATTTCTGTATATAAATACACTTTTTAGGCATTTTTAAAACATTGGCAAGTTTCTTCGTCACTCATCGAACCGCCATTATATGCAAAAAATGTAAATAACAAATTTTAAAAACACACCATCATTGAAAGAGGAGACAGAAATGCAGAGGAATGGAGTCAAGTAAAGAAAGTTGGTTCAGTGATTGGAAATTCTGAAAGCATCATGAGAATGAAACAGTCAGTGTGGAAAGGCTTGATAAACGATAGATAAGAGGTGACAGAATATCTGAGTAGAGAAGATTAAAGCTGTATAACACCTTGGTGAAACCAGTTTTAACCCACAACTGAGGAACTTGGGACCTTACAAAGGAAGAAGAGCTGGAGCTAGACAGTTTCCATAGATGACAACTGCAAATTCTGATAGGTAAAAATACCCTCATAATATCTCCAACAAGAACTTTTTCAACAGATATCAAGAATCTCATTTGTCTTTGTTCATTTTGAAAGCAAAATGAAAACTTCTTCGACATATTTTGCAAATGGATCCAGAATACCCAGCTAACAAAGTCATGGAGTGTTACTTTGAAAAGACTGAGTTCAAAAACTTAGTCACAACGCCGAAACGAGAAATTCAAAGAACAAGGCAGAAAGATCCCACTTTTCCTTTGGAGAAGTTTACAATCAAGGAAGATCTGCAACAAATCCTCAAACTCGTTGAGGACATATAAGGCTGTCAAAATATAGTCGAATCACTGAAGATGAAAGAACATGTTTTAATTCATGACCTTAAATCGAAACACTTGATGATGATGATGATGATGATGATGACTCAATAATGGCATTAAAATTTATATTTTTGGTATCTTCAAACATGTTAAACAGCAATGATATGAATTTCAAAATCCCATTGAATAATTACAAGTAATTTTTGAAACATAAAGAAATGCACAATCACAGTCGACCCGAATAAGAAAATTAAATTAATTATTACAAAAAGTTTAAAACAGCTAACCATATCACCAAAAATAACAACACATCCACAAAATCAAAACTACAAATAACCAACATTATTTACGAGTTTACATGCCACTTAAGGAACTGTGTTCCTGATCAAACCAAACTCATAAATAATTACATTGGTCACACTCAGTCAGTTATGTGCCATGCGTGATACACGGCGAGGTGATAAATGTAACTTTCGATACATGACTGACGAGGCAGATTTTCCTGCAATAGGTCGCTATTTCTTTCTGCGGTAGACCAGTTGCCATTCAAGCCTATAGAACCCGGTCTGTCCTGCTATATATATATGTCTGATTGAATAAATTACAGACATTATGTCTGCTAATTTTTAATAAAATCCGTTCATACTCACAAATAAGAGAAATGTGCTATATAGCTGTTTAAATTTCTTTTATTTTCATTTCCCAAGTACTTTCGATCTTCTCTCAAGATCACCTTCATGGTGCAAACAGTACAAAACTATATGTTGTTCATTGGAATAAATATTTATATAAAGATGTGCGTTGTTTTCCATTACCGTAATTTTCTCTCATCCTAACATCAATACACGGAAGGCTATTCGTGCGTATGAACAGATTTTATTAAAAATTAAGCAAACATACTGTCTGTAATTTATTGAATCAGACATGTCTAAAAGAGAATTTGCTGCCTAAACACACACACACACACACATAATTTATTTGTTTATGTTATTTTTATATATACTCATATTTGAGTAGATGTTCTGTTATTTATTATTAAACAATATGTATTTGTGTGTGTTATAAAAATATTATAATTATGATTATAAAATATAGATAACTTTAAGGTATGCTGTAAAGTGCTCAATATCAGGGAAAAGAATCTATGTAAATATAAAAGTAGATACTGAACATGAAACAGACTGTCACCACTCGGTGTTGACCTCATTGTCCACTTATGTTATCATTATTATACACTTTTGACTGATTAGAAGAAAAATATTGTGATTGTAAATATGACTTAATTGTAACGTAAATTTTCATCACATTTTTTAAGCACGCGTTAAATACGATATTTATGGTTCGATTGAACATCCGTATCCTGAAAAGGTTGACTGAATATTTTTATTAAGTAACATAAACACGTTCGTTTATTTTAATTTTTATTATGCATATTATTCTTTGAGTTTAAAGTATTATCTCTGGATGTAATGGAACGGGTATATAAATATAAAAGTTGACACTGAACAGTGTTGCTTTTTTTTTTTGCGCATGTTGTTGGAGAATTTCTCGTCGGATGCCGGAACCGGTTTTCCCGGCTTTTGACGAGATTCTCGCGACAACTAACCAATCAGAAAGCGCCAAGTTGCCTGACGTCACAAACGGCGCGCTGACGGGGCACGTTGCTGTTTGGACACATCTGCCCGACTTAGTCTGCGGATGACATCTCAAAGCCGTCAGTGAGTAAGAATAACAACAAAAGGGCAAAATTTGATCCCCCTGAGGATTTTCAATGAGAAAACTCAGTCAAACAGTTCAAGTGATTCATAATATACATAGGCATTAGTCTAACTTTATTTAGTTCATGATTATTGTTTAATTATAAGCTTTCTTTCGTTTGCGAAAAGTTTATTTTTTTTTTTATGATACATTTGGTTGATACTTTGTCAAAAAAATCTAATTGTTTTTTTTTTTATCGTTTTGCAGTTTTTGAATATTTAAGTTACATAGAATATATTGGTGAGTTTCCTTTTTAAGGGATTAACGACCTTTTTAAGCTAAAAGGTTTAACCTTCCTTATTTTAAAACCTGCAAAAAACAGAAAAGTTTCATATTTATTTATCAATAATTTATTGAAAATTCTCAGTTCGTCGAAACTGAATTGAAATTTCTACCAAAATGAACTTTCAATTAGTTTTATTGCTTGTTTGTAATATCTTGTTCTTAACAAACAAAAAAAGTGAGGCTGCACTTAAGGAAGGAGATTGTGAAGGTAAGTAATTATCGTTTTCCGGTCATTATTTTCAAGTCTGCTCTAAAAGTTAAAAATTAAATGTAAAAACCGAAAATTCGCTCGAAAGTTTTTTTGGGTTTTTTTGTTTTTGTTCTTCCCTCATACGTCTTTTATCCAGCTTATATACAGTACAATTTAAAGTAATCGCTTGACAAACAAACAAACAAACAAAAAAAACAACAAAAAATACGCCTTTTTTTTCACTTGTCAACTTGTTTTGTTGCTTTGTTGAGGTAGTTTATTTTATTTCTCCATTTAAGTGACTGATGTTTCAGCCAGAATGTCAAAATTTTCATGACAAGTTGACCTAGCCTGGATGACGCAACACACTCTTCCTGCTCTTCATACTGTAAATTTAAAAATGACTTGAGATCCAGTTGTGAAAATGAAAATTCTTTTTCTTTGTTAATGATTGTTGGCATTATGACTCATGTAGATGTCATTATGCCCCAAATCCCAACTTGCTTTAAAAATCGATATCCACCCCTAAAGAGAAAAGACACGTCAACGTTTTGTTGTTTTCAAGACTGAATAAAATGCCGGCTGCAGTTGTCAGTGTTCGAGCCATGGTAAAAGCAAGACTTTGGATATTTTTATTAAATAAAAATTTTATTTAAAGTAAGTACTAGAGACAGACCTTCTACCCTAAATATTGGCGCAACACAATCTTATTCCCAATTTGGCTTAAATGGCTTTTGAAAAACAAAAAGTAGTAGAGAAAAAGTTTAAAATTACATTTCATTTTTAACACATTTTATTTTACAATTGTTCGGACTGATGTCCTCATTTTTATTATTTCCATTTCACATTTCAGCCGTTTTAACCTACTTCAGGTGATTAATTTCGAACTGAACCCTACTTCGTCCACCGCTCTGTAATTCTAGATGGCAACAATGATGAGGACAACAGTCCGAACAAAGTGTACAAAGAAAGCAGAAAGCTCTAATTAATTACAATAATACCTCATCTCAGAAATAGAAAAATGCCACTTACTGACTACAAACATTTTTCTTAATGTAAATAAAAATAAAATTGTTTTTTGTTTGTTTGGTTTTTCGTTTATTTCGTTTTGTTAATTTCGAAAAATAATTTAAAAGATCAAAATTTCATATTCATTTTTTTCGTTTTCTTTTGTTTGTTTTTTTTACATTTCACTTTCTTTGTGGCGAGTGAATTGTGAAATTCAAAAACGGGAAAGACGCATTTTTAGTTTTCAAAAATATATTTAATCATAAATGTCCGTTTTTATTGCAATCATAACATTTAAGAATCAAATTTGTTTTAATTAAATTAACATTTTTTGCGCTCCTCTTTATGTAGTAAGATCTTCATTCAATTTACTTATTCACGTAATGAAATATCTGGAAATCCCCTAATTTCTGTTACTCAGGTTTTCGTTTTAAAGTTTAAGGTAAGGAAGAATTTTTTAGTGTATAATCTAGTGACATTTATGAATACAAATAAAATTAATTTTGATTTTCACGTCGATATTGTTGTCAGTCTTTTGACATTTTATTTTTTTTTGTTTTTCAAGTTTTAAACTTTAGCCCTTTACAAATGAAAAGATTCTTGCAAAACCTGTCTCTACGTAACAAAACTTTAAAAAAAAAATTGATGTTTAGTTCAATGTGCTTTCGAATCACTAAAAAAATTGATAAATTAAAAATACTTTCACCTTTTTCCAACAACGTCCCCCCCCCGCAACGCTCACATTTATTTTTTCTTCCCAAAAATGAAAAATCAGAAGTACTTGCAACAAGAACGAATTTGACTTCATTTTGTTTTGTCCTTCTAAAAAGACATTCTTACCGATATAGTGATGACTTGTTATTAAAAATATGGGATTGTTTCATAAAGTAAATATTTTCCTAAAATTCTTCAATCGAGCAAGAATTATTTTCTTTATGTGCCAAATCCTTTCAGGCTCTTTACAACTTCCTGGCTCTTATGGCTTTTTTATTTTACCTTTACCACCCCTGTTTTCCTTTGTTCTGATCTGCATTCACACAAGCTTAAGTAGATTACTGTTTCTCTTTCCTACAAAATGTTTTGTTGGTATTTGAATTCTCTAGGACCTCTTTCATTATGCATCCAAGGAATTTCCTTGCTTCAATTTTTCCTTTATGCTCACATGTGCTGTCAATAGTATTAACATTCATCAGCTGAATCACATCCAGTCTCTTTATCTGTGAGGTTTGTTTGTCCAGTATTCACAGCCATATAGGAGATTAAACATTACATAGAGAATTATTTTACGAAGCCATTTTTTAAATTCTCGCACAAATATCAAGATGGGATTTTTTTTTTTACTCTGATATTCAAGAAGTCATTTTGTTTTGAGATTTGAATGCTAAAGAATGATTTCTGATCAATATGAATCATGTTAAGAGCCAAATTAAAAATGTTGTCCTGGGTAAGACGTTAAACTATGTCCAGCAGCAAGGCCTCTGATCAGGTTTTGAGGAGTGTGGAACCACTTTTTAATTGCTGGTGTTCCCAGATCCACCCTGACCCAGGGTGGTAGCACCTGTTAGGGTCCCAGCTATGGGCAAATAGTTAACTATTACCAGCAATACAATTTTGAAGGAAATATATTACCAGCAATAAAAAATTGTCAGCATTAAATAACCCATTGAAGTTGATATGCCATAAAACAAAATAAACCAAACCAATCTAAACCAAAAAATACACGAATCTATTCTAAAAATGTTGTCAGCATTAAATAACCCATTGAGGTTGATATGCCGTTAAACAAAATAAACCAATCAAACAAAATTAAAAATGCTTAAACATTTGGTGGGGGAAGAAGGATATAAATAATCTCCTTTACATCTGTGGGAAATTCTTGCTTCTGTTCTTAACCTTAACGCTTAATGAAAGATACTACCAATATAGCTATAGCAATAAATGTTATGTTCTATAATTCTAATTCTCCTTTTGGAAAATGTTTAAATTGTTTCGCAAAATATTATTTGCTTAAAAAAAAAAAAAAAAAAAAAATTGAAATCACAGCAATATTCTCCACATGACTGATTTTGATTTGCTTATAAGTCCTCAAATAGTGAGTTCCTTGTTGACATGATATCAGATAAATAAAAATTTATCATTATTCTCTTGCTTACAGCCATATCACATTGAAACACTGGTTCTTGTACAATCACCAAAGTTAAGCAACATAAATTCTGGTCAGTACCTAGATGAGTGACCACTTGGGAATATCAAGTGTTGTAAGCTTGGATCTGTGAGTGGCATAATGGATAATGGTTCAAAATTGGAAACTAGAGAGCCAAGTTGCAATTCCAGTTGAGTTTATGTTCACTAAGGCACAAATACCTCTGAGAAAGGTATGAATCTACCTTCCCCCAGCTATTGGTTAATTAATTAGTAGAACTTGTATCAGGAAAATATTTTCAGTTTTATATATATATATATATATAATGCCTTTAAATTCCTTAAGGAACATAGGGCCGCAAGATATCGTTGTGGTTTTTGTAATAAGCCATTTTTTGAGTGAGTAAGTTGTTAGTCTACTGCACAAACCCCAACCTGGAGGATCAGGTTTTGAATTCAGAGTTGTTGTTCTAGACCAGTTGGCTATATAACCCAGTCTGTCCTGCTATTTACCCATAGGTGGGGGGAGAAGAGGATTCATACATTTCCCAAGGGTAAATTGGCACAAAAGTGAATGTGGTGAATTCAACTGGAATTTGAACTCCTCTCCCCGATTCCTCAATCCAAGATGTTATCCATTACTCTACCGTGCTTCCTCATTTTTCAGGCTTTAAATAACCTGCAAAAGGTTGATAAGCTATAAACAACAAATCAATCAATTCATTGTTTTCTGCTAATAAAAGATCCAACAAAAAAGCCATCTTGTTTCCTCTTTTTCTAGAGGGAAATATAGCTTTGTGCTCTTCATTCTGTGTAGGTGTTAACATATCAATCTTTTCAAGATGTGTTATCTTGTTGCTCCAGAGAAACTGTAAGCAAACTGATACACATTCCAGGAATTCTTGGAAATCCTTAAGAAACTCTCTTTAATAAAAACCCTTCAGAACTAGGCATGCATGAAAAGTTTGCCTTATTTCCATGCAAAATTATGAAAACAAACAAAATAGTGTAGAATAAAAAAAGTGAACTTTAGCCTGTAAAATAGCCACTTCACCACCACAAAATATTGTAAATGGAGCATTAAATCTGTTAATATGAAATTAGATCTGATTTTTGTAACTCTACAATCTTCCATTTTTTATTTTTCTCTCTTTTCAGTGTGCATCAAAGAGATTGATGCTTTTATCAAAACTTTATCACCAGAGATGAAATATAAGGAAGATGTCATCACAGAGGAATATAAGAAATTCTGTAAAAAAGCAAAAAGCAAGAGAGAGAGGCTGGTAAGAAGTTTGGCTTTTATAATGTCATACTTTATTCTTCTTATTTGCAGTTTCTGTTGAAAGGAAAATTTAATAAAAATAAAAAAAAAATAAATGAATTCCATTTGTATTTTTAAATGAAAATAGAAGCAAAATTATAGAAGAAATAGTACACCTGAAGCCTGATTATCTCCTTACCATTTTAGACCTTTTTTTTTTTTTTTTTTTTTTTTTACCTCTAAGATTTCCACTCTGAAGAAGAATGCTTGCAGCCAAATAAACTGGCAATTTTATCAGCTTTAGCTTTATCTTATAACAATTTGTTTTTTTTTTCTTTTCATTCAGATTCTCATTACATATCTTTGGGTTTTGTGAACAGAATGTGAAAAATGTATAACATAATTTGATTATTTCTGTAACTTCTGATTATTTCCAGTATGAAATATTCCTTAAGTTTTTTCTCTTGTAGATTGGAATCAATGTTGATAAACTTTTTAAAAATGTAAACCTTAATATTAATTTGCTTAGAATCTGACAAAATAGGTGTTTAACCCATTAAGAAGTCCAAATTATGGAAATTTTCATTATTTCCAGCTCAACTTGGGCTTGAAATGATAGAAATTTCTGCTGCAGTTAAATGTAAAAAACATTTAGTCAAAAATTTCTTCACTTGTTAAGTATTTGATAATAATCACATTGGTCTTGTTACCAACCCTTCTTGAAATGAAATGTTGTTGAGTTGATCAGTTAGAAAACTAAAACAAATCCTTGACTGCAATTTCTTTTCTTTTCTCATAAAACCTTTGTTGGTTCCTGTAATTTCAAAGAAATTTTATGACATGCAAAAAATAACAAATTAGGAATCTGCCCCACAAGGCAGCAGTTCACTACAATGTGTATGGCATGACAAATCCTTGCTGTGAAGTTCAGGACTGGTGGAACTAAGGTGCGTTGTTTATCTGAAAGTTTTAATGGAAATAGCGATAGATGAGTATGTGGTTTGCAACATCTCATCTGTGCAAAAGGTGTTGTAGGGTGGAAAATAATTTGTCATTCACAAGGATGCAAAGATACTTTAGAATGCTGTCTAGAGTGGAAAGCGAAAACTGGGCAGCACCTATCCGCATGTCAGCATCACTCCATTTCCAGCCTGATCTGGCTCTTGTAATGGTAAAGGATAGTAGGAGATACTTGCTGGAATGGTACAGGGAACCAACCATTTTTTTTCTTATTTTTCAGCATCTTTAGTAATGGATCATATGTACGAGTTCCACTTGAGGTCTGGATTGAGTTTAAGTCCCAATAAGTACTCCCTGAGTGAACATCTATTCACTGTGATTGGTGATGATGCAACATCATTAGTTTGATTTTCTATTTGATTTAAGTTCAAGAAGTGATTGTTATTGAATTGTTTTTCTATCCAAGCTAAAGACACTGTTCAGTAAACACTGTGAAGCTTGAAATTGCCAAGAGCATGGGAATAGTTTAATGTTTATAAGCAAAAAGCAGATAACCCTGGCTAAAATTTAATTAAAGGAAAATGTTGCATTTGACTTTCTTCCTCTTTTACTAAAGAGTAATAAAGCACCATAAAGATTTCCTATCAATCATTTTAAAAGTTAAACTTTGTTGTTAATGACACATACTTCCTTCTTCAAAAATTCCTTTCCATTCCCAAAGTTCTGATAATTTTTTTCTTCTCTAAATATTATCAATTTAATAGGGAAATCTATGTAACAGAAGCTGAGAATACAAAGGATACAGTAATGGACAACTTTGTTCAGCTACAAAGTAGACTTCACAAATAGTTATTACTAAACTTTATTTAAACTTTTAATATAAATTAAAGGGTTCAAGAAAATTATAACAAAGATTAAAAATAACTGAAGTCTAAATTATAAAAGCAATTAGAAATTGAACTTCTTTATCGGATCGTGTAAAAAAAAAAAAAAAAAATAAATAAATAAATAAAATCATCCGTCCTTGGAATTTGGCTAAGATTAGTGTTTTAATTAAATAATGATCCTGCTCTTTAAAACTTTTACTTCTCACAGGTGAGAATTGTTTTTTGAAAATACTTCATTTATTTTTTTTTAATATTCTTTTTAGGTCAAGTCTCCGATTAGGAAAATAAATGAACCCTGAATGCAAATATTGAGGGGAAATACTTTATTTGCTTTATGAAAAACAAAATTTTAAGCTTTAACTTTTACAATTATATGACAACAGCAAGAGAATGTATGATTTCAGGTTATGTTTTCCTTTTCTTGTATGGTAATTACAGTTTTACTCATAATTACTTTCTCTGTCAAATTTTATGGATGTTAAGAATCAAAATGTACTGTCTCTGACTTCAGTTACTACAGTTCTCTCAGTTATGTTTGACCAGTGACAGTAATAAGAAACATTTTTTAAAAAGGTATTAATACTTGGCAAAATGTTTTAATGGTTTTATAGCACAACCTTCTTCTCACAAAACAAAGATTTCAAGATGTGTACACACTAATTGTTTTGTAAGTTACAAACTGATCCAAATGACATGTTGTGATGTATATGGCCTGATTTTAAAAGACATTAAGTCTTCATTGGTTAAACCACGTACTCCCAGAGTACAAATTTCTATCTTTTGGACAAGACCTGTTTACAAACTGAAATATTTTTATGAACTTAACCTGTTTATAAATTTAGTGATACGTATTAAAATGAATTTGCTAAAACAGAAACAAATCTTTTGGTATTCTATGTTTGTAAACTGCTGGAGATCTCTTTCTAATTTCATGATTTTAATATTTTATCAACATTTTTTTTTTATATCAGTATTTCATTGCTTATTAGCCTCAAAAGATACTCAGCTAATCTGGACATTGGGACTGTAAACTTTGGGTTTACAGCCACATCACATTGAAATACCAGTTCTTGTACGATCACTGAAGTTAAACTTGATGGGTGATCAGTTGGGAATACCAGTAGCTGTAAGCTTAGATGTGCAGATGATGTAATATATAATGATTTGGAATTGTTTATCAGAGAGCCAAGCTCCAATTCCTGTTGAGTTCATTATATCCTTGGGAAAGGTATGAAACTGCCTCTTCTCCCTCACCAGCTATGAGTTAATTAGTAAGATTTGTATCACTAAACCATTATCTCCAAAAAGAAATTCTTATGATCTAAAAATATTTTCTGGTGTTAAATAACCTGCAAATCAATATAAACCTCAGTTTCCTTAATATCCTGTCTGCCAGTAAAACTCCATCTCTCTTTGCTTCTAACCTTTACTTCCTACATAACTCCTTTACTCCCCTATTAATGGGACACCGTGTTACCTTCATCAATAAGGCACAGTGTTAACAAAGTAATCATGTAATCAAATTCATGCCATTTTGTTTCTGTTCAAAGGCAAAATCTTTTCTGCAATTTAAGGAATTCATTTTGTATATAACATTGAAAGTGATTGTTGCCTCAAGTCTTACCTTCTTTTTGTCCAGTGCTATTACTTAGGAGGTTTGGAGACGTCAGCTACCAATATTGTAAAGCAAATGTCAAAACCATTGAGTTGGGGATTGCCACCTGAAAAGATTTGTGAAAAACTGAAAAAATTTGATTCACAAGTCTGTGAATTGAAATATGGTATTTATTCTTTTTCATTTTTCATTTTCTTTAATCCTTGATTTTGCTAAATATAAGTACCAATTCCATCTCTCTTTCCTTGTTTTTATTGTTGCTAATAAAAAATCTTTTCTCTCAGAATCCGCTGGTTAATTTTATAGAGATTGCTGTACAATTAATAATCTAATAAATACAACTTCCAATAATAGTTGTTACATATGTATACACATTTCATGCACTGAATGTTACATCTATTATGAGACAAAATTAATATGATTTTCTCTCCAACTCTTGTCCCAGTTTTTACAGTCCATCTCCTTTAGCAACATTGTTTTCTTTTTAACCATTAATCATACATCTTTTTGAAGCTGAAAAATAGGTTCTAATATTTGAAAGAACTGAAACGGTTGGCCAAGCTTCCCATTATTTATTTGGATTCTAACAGAAATTTATTTTCTTAAGACAATTTCATCCAACAAATACAAACTATTTTTGTCTTTAAATATAAAAATTTGATGCAAAAAAAGATTTCATAGCAGATTTTAATTAAATGCCTTTAAATTCTTGGTGTGATCTTCAAGTGTGATTTGGTAATTTTTTTTTTCATTAATTTCTCAAAGATTTTCTTTGTTTCTCATCTATTTTCAGACAAAACAATTGACTTGGCCAAGACAAACCTCAAAAAATTGAAAGTGAAAGACCTGAAGAAAATTTTGTCTCAATGGGGAGAAGATCAAGCATGCAAAGGATGTGCAGAAAAATCAGATTTTATTAAAGTTATTGAAGAACTGATGCCTGTTTATGCACCAGAAGCATATGCATCTCGGCAAAAAGCTGAATTATGATAGATCCTACATTAGTGCAACTTTAATCCTGCATTGACCCCCCCCCCTTCTCTTTCTTTTCCTCTTCAGTGAAAATGACACAGATTTGTGGGTGGGTGTGAGAGTGTGTGTGTGTATGTGTATTCTATAAAGTGGGATTTCCTCATTTTTCTCTTTCTCCTTCTCAAAAGCAAGCTACAGGTGGGAAGGAGATGAGGAGCCACATTACATTCAACTGCTGTGTCCAAATATTGAACATAAGGAGAAACAATTTTCCCTAAAATGGATTTCATCAAAAGTTCTGGCAGATTTCTGGAAGAAAACAAAAATGATAACAAGTCAATGAGAAATTTCTCTTGTTCTCATTGGTATTCACTCCTCCCTCTCCTGAAGGGCTCCTACCTTGTCAGGGTTGAATAATATTTGAGAACCTGCCTACATGTGTCTCTCTGCACACTCATACATTTTTCCATATGCAACACAATTTTTCCTCCTTTGGTTAATGTTCAAATGTTGAGAGCTTTTCTTTTTCTTAGAAAACAAATATCAAATAACCACACATCCAGTTTGAAATAAATTTATCTAAAAATGTTCTAAGAAAAGTATATTTTCAAGTGAGTGGCAGTTAAGAGTTTTTATTTGTTTTCCAAATTTTTGAAAACTGTTGGATTATCTGCTAAATAATGACAACAATCCTGTACAAAGAATTTTTCATTGAGATTTGGATGTTTACTTTGATACAAAACAGTTGAATTTGATGTTTGTTTTCTGCCTTTTCCTATTGAAAGGTTGAGTATAAAGAAAAAAAAAGACTTTGTTTAATACTTTGGTTTTATTAATAAAAATTTCTTTTTGTTCTGTGAATTTATTTCCATCTTAATTTCATTCAATTACAGCATTTTGTGAATTTGATTTTTTATTATTATTTAAAAATAATTCTCCTTCAGAACTTCAAATTTGGTACTTTAAGTAAATTATTTGGACAAATTTCCTCATTTGTTATTTCTCTTTTCTCTTCTGTCTATATTTCTGAGATGATGTAACTATTTACACTATTCGGACTGTTGTCCTCATCTTTATTGTCATTGTGACTTGACCCCAAAGTGTTGTGAGTTCAATTGGTGAACAAACACTTGGAGTGTTGAGTTACTAAAGGGAGATAACTGAAACTGAGACATCAAAAAAGACATGGACAAGAACAATCTACCCCAGTAGAATAAAAGGGTTCAGTTTGAAATTCCAATATATATCACCTGAAGAAGGCCAGAGCATATAATGATCAAAATGTTGTAAATATGAAAATAAAGATGAGGACAACAGTCCAAACAATGTAAATAGTATAAATTATTTTCGCTTATTCAATCTAAATCAGTCATTTCTAAAATGTGTTTCAACTATATAAGTTTATCCAAAACAACAATAACAATATTTGCTACTTGATCAGTGAAATTAAGCAATCTTAGATCTCTTCCTTATTGTCTGGGGGAAAAAGTTGAAATATTATTATTTAACAAAACCTTTGCACTTTTGTTGCTTTCTCTTAAGGATTGACTGAAATAATCAGTGACAGTTTTCAAATGGATTTTGTTTCTATTTTTCTTTGTCTCAAAGGGAAATGCTTCTCTCAGTAAGAAATTGGTTTATTTTGGTCAACCTGCAACTTTGTGCATTTAGTTCATACTTTGAACGTGCATACAAAAAAGGCAGTTAAAAAAATGATTTATTACCTCAGTTTAGGAAATTCACCACCATGCAAAGTCAAATGCCAGTTCAACCCTTTAAAGAAAGTAAAAAGTACCATTCTATGAATAAACACTCCATGAAAAATTGTAACAAAATAATTTTTTTGTCTCATTTAATTCTCCCCAAATTATTTGAAATTATCATCCCCACCCCTATGTTATAAAATCATATGTTGCATTTTGAGGATGTACTTTAGTATTTATTTCAACAATTGAAACAAACTTTGGACCCACATCCCCACACTTTCTCTGCTGCAGATGAGGAAAATTTAAAATTAAATAACATTTTCTGTCATCATGAAATTACCTCATGATTCAAGGCTTTTGCAATAAATGAATCTTACATTTTTCCCTAAAATGGATTTCATCAAAAGTTCTGGCAGATTTCAAAGCAAATGTCTTTAATTGTCACCCATTGTTTTGTAGAGTGGAGTTATGGTTATCTCTTATGAAAGTTTAAAAGAAAAATAAAGTTAATATTCACCCCAACATAATTGTTTCTCATCATTTACACAATTCCTTTTACACTGAAAAAGTGAAGAAAATGATTTTTGTTATAGATGATATCTGTACACATCAATAAACATGTAGCTTGACACACAGCTGAATTTTGGCCTGGAATATTCAGTGCATGTTTAATCAGATTAATATTTACTACTGAATTAAGTGCATTAACAAAGAATGCAATTCAAGTTTTTGCAGAACATATTTTGTAATTAAACTTTAGACTTGGGTGTATAAAACTTGGTTTACTTCATAGATTGGGAAAATAGATTTAAAAATTAATTTTAGTTAATAAACTTTTTTTTTCTTGGTCATGAATTAAATTTGGTTAAAAATAACTAATCCAACACTTGGAATTCAATTCTGCAAACCACAAGTGAAATAAAGTTACACAGAAGTCAAGGGAATAATTAAAAAAACAAAAAACTATTGCCAAATATCTTGAAATAGCAATGTTGGTTGTGATCCTTGCTGGTTGCTTTGTTTGTATTGTGCTAAAACTAAGCCTAGTAAATTACTTTATTCAATGTTCTCTCTTTTTAATTACACATTTAAGTGAAAAAGAATTTAATAGGTGAAATATATAGTCTGAAGCAATCGTTAGTAATGCATATTTTTCAAAAATATTTCAATAATTATTTCGCTTATTCATGGAACTATTTGTTTGAAAGTGACTGAGGTAGTTGCAGATTTTCTACCAGAAATATTGGCCAGTGTTTAAGTTCAATTGGAAACCAAGGTTTCAAAGCAGTCAATATTGGTGCAACACAATCTTCCTTTCATATTACTTGGCCAAGAAATGATTTAAATTGACTAACATAGAGGAATGCCGCCCACTGGAAGAGCTCTGAGATACATTGAGGAGGAAATTAAATACTCTGGAGGGCATGAAAGAAAGGTCAATGAAGGGGACCATTTTCCTCAGGGACTCATTTGGATTCCTAAGGAAAATATAAGGTAACCAAAAAATTAAAAGTCCTTGCTGTTTCTTATTTTGTGTGGGAAAAAGTGATCACTGATATGCAAATGAGGGCATTATGGTCTGGGAAAGCATTGAGGGGTAGGGCCATTGACCAATACAAGTGCATTGCACACACACCAGTCATCACTTGAGTAGTAGCAGGGAACATGTTGGTGTCGAAGCAGCTCATTCAAAGGTTTTCCGCTTTATGACTTAAGGTGGGCTTGCAACAGCTGCATGAAGTCATTAAATACATCAAGCTTTTGGAGATAATGATGTGAGAGAACCCACCACAAGCATTGGTTCCAGAAGTTCAGGTCAGAAGATCCATCTCTTTTTGAAGAACCCCAGAGTAGCTGGCCATAGGTCCCAGGACAACAGCCAAAATTGAATTTGCCAAATGCATTCAGGTTTCTCATGAAACAGACTTTGCCTGCACTCTATTGGCAAGGCACACAAGTTGCTTTCTCAGCACCACCATCCATATTTGATTGAGTGCACACCAGTGACAAATGTGTCCTGTATGAGGCTCACCAGCATACCAGACATTGAATGTCACCACAGGAATCTGCCTCACACAAGACCACCTCTACATTCACACAATATCATGAACTATATCTGCTAGACTAGTCAACAAGTGATGTACTGTGAGCTGCTACCATGGGCCATATCATCACTACAGACATGTACTTACAGCAGTTGTAACACATGCAACAGGCAATGAAACAGAAGGGATCCATTTAATCACAAAGGTGTACTGTTTTTCCATGACAATGCCAAGCTTCATGTAGTCTGGGAGACACTGTGCCATCCACCTCATTCCCTGAACTTTGTGCCAACAGATTACCAACTCTTCCATTCCCTGGGCAACCACCTTGGTGGGAAATTCTTCACAAATGAGGCAGACTTGTGGCAGGCACTTACTGTCTTCATCTAAAACATTTGGTTTTTACTTCCAGGGCATTGTGCAGCTGGAAGCACATTGGTAAAAAGTTCTGGATGCCAATGTGGATTACTTTGAGGATTAATAGTTTATAAAATTTGCTGTGTACCATTTTTTTTCTAATAAATCAAAAACGGCAAGGACTTGTTTATTACATTGTACTTGGTAATAAATGGAGTGAGACCTTAGTGGAAGTTAATGACTTTTTCCATAATACATTCACAGACAAAAAGAAAATAGGATTTAATTCTTAACAGTACACTGTTTACTCTGGAACAACCTGCATTAGAATTTGATTTCAGAGTATTGACCTAGTAAGAAGTACAAGCAGTGGTCAAGACAGCAAAATCAGCCTCAACACCTAATGGTGAGCAATCTGACCAAGGGTGAAAATTGCAAACCAGTAGAAATGAGCTGAAGGTGTCAGGATACCAAAGAAAGAGGATTCTAAAATGATCAAACAATTTAGAATCAAAACTTGATACCAAATGCAAAATATGTTTTTTGACTTCAAAACAGTTGGCATCCAAAGCTATAGAACCCTGCTATTTACCCATAGCTGGAGGGAGAAGATGAGGATTCACACCTTTCCCAAGGGTATTAGCACGTAAGTGAATGTAATGGAAACTGGAATTAATAAATCTTCAATTCCTCATTCCAAGCCACTATCCATTACTCCACCATCCTATCTATGTATCTATCTATCTATATATATATATATATATATATATATATATATATATATATATATATATATATATATATATATATCAAATGATATATAAATATAAATTAGTATATTTCAAGAACAATTCTATGCCTATATGTATAGTCGCATCAATATAAACATCAAGTTCTAAGTGACAAAACA